TGTGGACTAAGTTAAACTCGAGAGGAAACATTCCCTTATGCCCATACGGAGATAAATTCACACGAAGGCATAGGTATATGAATCCCGAAGGCTACTTGCTAGGCCCGCACGGTGAATAAATTCACACGAAGGCGTCGCTTTCACCCCCACTTAAAAGGGTTCGGAGCTGGGTATAGAGCCAGAGATGGAACTTTTCAAAAATCTGAAATCATTGAAAAAAAATGTTAGTACAACTATTTATTTCAAAAATAATCAAAAGGTAAATAACTGGAATCGAATAAATAATTTAAATTTAAATTTACAATTTTCGCGCATAAAAAGACAACCGAAAATTAATTCTGGCCCAGAGATGGAAACTTTTCAAAAATCTGAAATCATTGAAAAAAAATGTTAGTACAACTATTTATTTCAAAATAATCAAGGTAAATAACTGGAATCGAATAAATAAATTTAAATTTAAATTTACAATTTTCGCATAAAAAGACAACCGAAAATTAATTCTGGCCTGACTCACTTACCTGTCCCCAGCGGAGTCGCCAAGCTGTCGCACCCGTCTTTCGGTTGGGCCCCGGAATTGGGCTTTGACTTGAGTGATTGGGTTGGGAGTCGCCACCGACCATTTAAAATGAATTTAGGTGGGTCGGACACCATACCTGATCTGCGTTGTACCAGAAACGTGTCGGGTTCGGGAGTCGATTACGGTCAAGGAAGGGTTAGCACCCTTGAACCGCCCTTTCGGTACCAATTAATTTGTCGGTTGTCTTAGTTGCGAAAATTTAAAAAAATTTAAATTTAAAAACTCGATTCACATTACTTACCTTTGATTGGTTGGAGTTCTTCTAAAAAAGGTCAAAAAGTTAGAAAATATAATAATAGACAAATGTTAGATAAATCAAAAAAAATAAAGTACGACTTAGAGGATCAAATTGAGACAAATTGAAATTAATGGACTAGATTGGTATTAAAATGAACTGCAAAAGAAAAGAAAAGGTTAGGTGCCAATTCACGAAATAAAAAATATAAACATGGACCAAATTGATTAATTGGAAATTCGGAGGCAATTTACAGGTAGTGACCAAAATGAATTGCGACTCAAAGTATCAGGACTACGGAAGGATTTAAGAATCTTGTATTGCAGATGGTCCTTGGTATATAAATACCAAAACCGGCCTATTTTGAATCATTTCTCTCCATTTTCCAGATCTCTTCTCTCAAATGAGAGATATCTCTCAAACAGCCCTTCCTCGGGCGATATCCGGCCACCGTCTGGTGGCCCACTCAGCCGCACCGCCGCTCCGGCCGCCACCGCCGGCGGCCGGAAGGAAACCCAAAACCACCAAATGTTCCCCTCTTACCCTTAGGTCAGATCCGAGCCCCGAATCACCGTAACCAAACCCAAATCGTGTAGATCTAAGGAAAACCCATTCGGCTTTTACCTTTTCCGGCGAGGCCCTTCGTCTTCCCGGTGCTTGCTCTTTATTTTGCTTGGCTTTCGGTTGTTTATGTTTACTATTTTTGGTTTTTTTGTGGTGTTGTATTCGGTTGTTTCAAAGCGTTTTGATGATTTTTGTTTTCGTTGGGTGTTTGGTTCTTTGGTTGTGATGATGTTCTGATGGTTCTCGGTTGTTTTGGTACCGTGTTTGTGGGTTTTGTGTTGTTGATACCCTTTGGTTTCTGTGGCTCGCTGTTGACGTGGGTCTTGTGTTTGGCTCGTTGGTGGTGTACTGTCGTTGATGGTTTTACGTGGTGTATCCCGGTTCTGTTACCGATCTCCCTTGAGTACCGTGGCTTGGTGGGTATTTATACCCACCACTGATGCTATCTGTTCCGCCCTCCACGGGCTATTTCCGGTGATGGCGGGGTCGTTCCCGTACCTTCCGGGCCTATCATTGCTTCACGTGGCCGGGAATCCCGGGATGGTGCAGTCCCGATTTTCCCGGCCGGCCGGCTCGGGCTTGACGTTTGGTTGCCCCCTTGTGCGCCGCCTGTGACATGTATGACTAGGGTTTCTAGACCCTGAACTGTATCTTCTGCTGGGCTGGTTCAGGCCCAGTGTTCGGATCGGACTTGGACCATATTGGACCCAAAACAAATCTTTGACTTGGACCCTGCAAAAAGCAAATAATAATAAGAAATAAAATAATAATAATAATACTATATATATATATATAAATATTTTCGAAAATATGTAATATAAATTTCCAAAATGCTTTTTTAAAACTATATATTATACATGTTTTTAAAACGTTTTAAAAATTTTATAATATATTTTCAGAAACGGTTTAAAAATTATATATATATATTTTTAAAATGTTTTTCAAAAATTATATATTTAATGTTTTTAAAAAAATTCAAAACATATATTATATAATTTTTCAAAAATGATTTTAAAAACTATATATTATATATATATTTTCTAAAATGTTTTAAAAACTATATAATATATAGTTTCAACAAATATTTTTAAAACTATATATTATATACATTTTCAAAATGTTTTCAAAAATTATGTATATTATAAGTATTTTCAAAGACCGTTTGCAAAGTAAATGATATATATATAGATATATATAATAATAATAATAATAAATAAACAAAAAAAATGGACGAAAATGAGTGTCTACAGTTAGTATGTTACGCTAAAAGTTTGACAAAAATAACCAACCCTTATAATACAATCAAGCATTTTCCGTAACATATCCCAAAGCCTGCATGCAATTATTCCACAAATCCGTCACCACCGTCGAAACCATCTCCGAAAACACCTCAGCGATCTCCGGCAAGCCCGTCAGCAACTCTTGAAGCGACGTCCTTATCATCTCGACAAGTGCACCAAAAGCCTCCCCGGAAGCGGAAGCCGACGAGGTCACGGCATCGATCAAAAGATCGAAACCAGAAGAGATAAGGTAGCCCGTCAGCTCTACAATCAGCTCCAGGAAGTACTCGGAACACTTCCTGATCGCTTCGGCTAGTTGGTCCAATGCGCCCTGGAGGGCTTGGCCGGGAACCCGGAAAGCATGGATCAATAGCACGAGACAGTGTGCCGTGGTGCTGAAGATCAACCAAGTCATCAGGTTGGCTAACGTGCAGACCATGGAAAACACGAGTTTCAGAAGGATCGCTAACATCTTTATGGTAAATGTTGTGAGAGTAGTAACGAAGAAAAGAGTTTGAGCGTATTAAATGAAGAAGAAGAAGCCGTGGAAGCTTCAATATTTGCAGAAATTTGAAGGTGATGAGTAGGTAGGTATCTTGTTTAGTTTATCAACTGTAGAAAGTTGAAACTTTGTGAGATGATCTGTTCACGCGTACTATTATATGCATATGGAGTAGTTTGTCTTGAAAATTCGATGAAACTAAAACGACATTTCAATAATTTCTAATATATGTATTATATATATATATATATATATATATATATATTATTTGAAGACCCTATAAAAACAATTTAGTCTATGGTAAATTACATAACAAGTCATTTAATTATCAATAAGATTACAAATATGTCATCATATTTTAAAAATTATAAACTAATAACTCAATTAATAGAAAGTAACAATTATGTTACTCTATTATTGATTGAAATAATCACATCGCTCTATTTACTGATTGTAACAAAAAAATTAATGTTTGTCATGCATGATTGTTAACCTTTTTAGGAAAATAACATTTTTTTACCATTGAGATCATGTAATGAGTTACAGACTTAAAACTCTGACATGGAATAGATTCGATTTTGGTCGAGCAAGATTAAGTCAATGGATTTAATTTTTTTTGAATTAACTTGATTATGTTCAATTTAGGGTTTGCGGCATTTTAAATCTAGATTAAATCTATGTGAATTTGAACTTTAGAATTTTCAAGTTAGGCCATTTAAGTTTGTTCGAGCTGTTTAAATTTAAATTATTTTTGTTACAAGACAATTTCAATAAAATCATTCAGAATTTGGGCGGGATGAATTAAAATTATTAATTTTTTATGATCAAATCGATTTTAATTAGAATTTATAAAAGTATTATTTTTATATGAGAATCAAATTCGATTGTTTTGAATAAGTGTACAATGATATATGAATATGAGATGAAAATACATATTAAATACGGATAATTTAAAAACAAATACCGAGTATGGTCAAAGACTTGTAGGAATTGTACAATTTGGTTGGTTATGTTAATGGAAACTGGATTGCATCATCATGGGTGATGCTTGTATTATAAAACCAAAGCCCTGTTCCACTGGGAAGCAATATATAGAGGAACATAAATTATTATTTTTCATTAAGAATATAATTTTAAAGGTACAAGTTGCTTAAAAAGAAAGCGATGATCCAGGTGAATAGGTTGCTTGGAAGTCAAGGGATTTCCAATTCCAGGCTTCTAAGCATCAGTTACTTGAAGTACCTGTGCTCCCAAGTCTCAATTCAGCTTTCAAAACCCAAATCCCTTTGCTAATACCACTATAACCCTATCAATTTTAACAACATGAAGTCCAACACTAATTTTAAGCCATGTTAAAATTAAGGAGGGACACTTGACTTGAATTCAATTAGTTACAACCTGATCAAATTATTATTTTTTGTTAAAAGTTTGAGTTTAAGTTTGAATCTTTCTACAAAGATAGAGTTGGATCGAATCAGATTTAAGTTTAAAATAAAAAATTTGATCGACCTGAAATAATATAATAAGTATCTCTTATATATTTTAGAAATAATTACAATGCTTTTCATTTATATATTATTTTTTTAATTGCATCTTTATTTTACTTAATAAAAATAAATTATATATAAATCCAGTCAGATTGAATCGGATTTCAAGTTAAATAAGAGTGATCAAAAATTAACCCGACGATGACCATCCACGTTTAAAACTAAAACCCTATTCTAAGTAAATCATTAACTTCAAGGCTAGCCCAACCCAGAAAGAATTGGTTCAAACACTCTTTACTTCAAAGCTCAGATTATCTCATCAAGTCGACGACGACATTTGCTTTAGGTCGTAACTCGTAACCAGTAATCTGTCCTTGCTTCCCGCTGAACCTGGACTGAAAATGCCTCCACCCTTTCATCGCTTGCTCACCTCCTCAATCCGAAAACCACCAAAAACTCTCATTTCTTCATCATTCCCATCATTTTCCTCCTCCAATTTCACGCACCCATCATCAGTCAATCACCGTCACTTGTCAATCCCACCGCAACCTCCCCAAAACCCCACTTCCCACTTCCTCCAACCCAGAACCCGAACCCCTCTCGAGACCCAATTCGAAACATGGGTTCAAAGGCTCAAGCCCGGCTTCACCCCCTCCGACGTCGAGGCAGCTTTACGAGCCCAACCCGATGCCGATCTCGCCTCGACATCTTCCGTTGGACCGCCTTACAACGCGGGTACAAGCACACGGATACCACCTACCTCACCATGATAAAACTCCTCATCTCCGCCAAACGCTACCGCCACGCCGAGACGCTAATCGAGGAAGTCATCGCCGGTGCTTGTCCCGTCAGTGTTCCTCTTTACAACACCGTAATCCGTTTCTGCTGTGGCCGTAAGTTTCTTTTCAACCGTGCCTTTGATGTTTACAAGAAAATGTTGAAATCTGATGATTGCAAACCCACGCTCGAGACGTTCGCTTTGTTGTTTAATTCTTTGCTTAGGAGATTCAATAGACAAACTGTTTGTTATGTGTATTTACACTCGATCCGGTCTTTAGCGAAGCAAATGAAAGCTTTGGGAATCATTCCGGATACTTTCGTGTTGAATATGATAATTAAGGCCTATTCAAAGTGTTTAGATGTCGATGGAGCGATTCGGGTTTTTCGTGAAATGGGGTTGTATGGATGCGAGCCTAATGCTTATACATATGGTTATATTTTCAAGGGCTTGTGTGAGAAGGGAAAGGTTTCGCAGGGGTTTGGGTTGTTTAAGGAGATGAGGGAGAAAGGATTGGTGCCGAAAGGGAGTGCTTATATGATTCTGATTTGTAGTCTTGCGATGGAGCAAAGGCTTGATGATGCTGTCGATGTTGTTTATGATATGTTGGGGAATTCATGGCGCCGGATTTATTGACTTATAAGACTGTATTGGAAGAGTTGTGTAGAGGAGGGAGGAGTAATGATGCTTTTGGGTTGCTAGAGGAGTGGAAGAAGAGAGATTTGTCTATGGGCCAAAAGAATTACAGCATTTTGGTGAATACTTTGCATTGTAAGAATCAAGACTGAATTTTATACACTGGTCTACTATTTCATGTTTGTTGTTTCTTGCTTCCAATCAGATCTGAAGAGGCTAACTTGTTTACTGCTGAACTTTTGAAACTGTGATACCTGATTGATTCATGATTGAGGTTTTTCCTTGGTGGATTTACATTTCAGTGTATCTATTGACATCAGTGACTTTGCAATTCATTTGAAGGATGAGAAAAGGGAGGACATGGCTTTTGCATGTGTTATCAACAGGATGCACTGTTTAGTATAATGGGAATCACAATTGATCTTTCCTTGATGGAAACACTGCAATTTGGTATAAGACTATTTTGTTTTTGTAAAAACAAAACCGGGTTTCCATCAGTAGACTGGTCTGAAATGGTCAAGTTTCCTTGCAACCGGCTCTGCTGCATGTATTCTTCATTACAACTGTGGTTAGCCATGAGAAATCTCCGATGACATTTTGATAAGAGGATGATAATGTCTTGCAGGTGGAACAATATCATCTGTAAGTTTATATAATTCTTGGTTACTCGAGTCTTGCCATGCCTGCTACTCGGATGTTTCAGCTTCAACAAAAATGATCCTCAACCCTGAATCTCAGTTGACATCTAAAACAAGTTTAAGCTGCCCTTTGAAGGTGGCTCCGAGCCTCCGACTCTTGATCATTTTCACATTTGATAAGTATTTTGTTTATGGAATCAATGTCTTTTCCATGTCTCATCATTTCCTGAACTGATCAATTGTTAGAACCTCTCTTTTATCATTTGATTTAATCCTTATTTTTATCTTTAAGCAATTTAGCTTTCTTATGTTTGTTCTTCATTGAATGCCAAGAGTCGATGGATGCGGCCGAGCTCCGGATCGGTATCAAGGTATTATTATTGAAGTATTATTCATGGTGATTTGATTCGAGATTAATCAAACTCTGCAAAATGTGTTTCTCATTAACCATGGGTTTTCTAGAGCTGACATTGTTTTCTTTTCATGCCTATTTATCTCTCAGCTTGGAATCTGTTAATTTGCTATTTTGCTTATAAAATCACAAGAAATGCATAGTTTAAATTCAGTAGTGTGTTTTTGTGCTATTATTTTTTAAGCTTAAAAACTATACCTTAAGTTAACATTATGTGCCAAATGAATTTTTCGTTAAAATATGTGTTTAATATTTTTTTTAGTTATACTTTGTGTTTTTTCGGTTGCATTTTTAGGTGCATATACAATAACGGACGTTAAAAAATATCATTAAGTGACATGTGTCATATTTATATTTTGGCTTAATGTAAAATTAAATGCTCAAATTCTATCCTAAGTTAATTTTAGGTGTCTAATTTTTTTCCACTAAGAATAGGTGTCTAATGTTTTTGATGTTATACTTTTAGGTGTCTAGACTGTAACGATCGTCAAATTCAATAGTTATCTGACATGTGTCGTGTTTATATATTTTTATTTTTTTAAAAAAAGTTAAAATGTTATTTTTGAAAAAAAATATATAAAAAAATCTTCATTGCCGCCTGCGCAAAAAAATATCCCCTCAGTTGTATTCAAACTCCCCTCCACCGTCTTCATAAATTCTTAAAATTAACTTAGTGTCAAAATGATAAATTAGGGTTAGAGATATTAATATTAGGTTTAGGGATTTAAGTTTGATTTACGGATTTAAGGGGTTTGAGACGACAATAAAAGAAATGATCGATAGTGGAACTCCGACGATGGGTGAGTGGATGTTTGGCTAAAGTGGTTGATGATGATCGATGACAATTGATAATAAGGTTGAAATAAGAGATTTTAGGGTTATATGTTTTTTTTTAATTTTAGAAAAAAATTGATTTTTTTTAAAAAATAATAATATTATTAAGTTTTTAAAAAATAAAATTTTTAAAAAATATAAACATGACACGTGTAACATAATATTTTTAATGGTTATTATTGCGTAGACACATAAAAATGTAACGTCGGAAACTTTAAACACATTTTTAACGAAAAATTCTTTAGATATCTAAAGTTAACATAGAGTATAGTTTGTGGACACTTGTTTTTGTATTAAGCTAAAATATAAATATGATATATGTCTTCTAACGGTATTTTTAACTACTGTTATTGCTTAAACACCTAAAAAATGTAACCAAAAAAACGTTAAGCACTTAAAAATATAACGTCAGAAACGTTAAACACTTATTTTTAACGAAAAAAATTTTAAATACGTAAAATAAACTTAAGATATAATTTGAATATTTATTTTTATATTAAGTCAATTTTATATAATTGTATAAAATCCTAAAAATATTACGATACAATAAGGTAGCGTGAACAACGGAACCTAATAATTACAATTTATAATCCCAAATCATGTGACTATAATCTTAGTCTTATAAACAATAATTTTGTAAAATTCATTACTATTCAAATCAATTGATAAACATGATTTTATGTTTCAAATTTCATTTTATATTTCTGATTTTTATTATAATTTTACAATGAAATTTAATAAATCAAATTGAAAATCAAACGAATACAAATCTATTTTTTCTTCATCAATAAACTGTCACACATCGACTCAGTTTTACCATTCCTTCACTAGGAACGACAATTCAATCCAAATGGAAGCATCCCGATCCTTAAAAGCAATCAATCAAACTCAAAACGAGGAGGAAGTTCCTGGCTAAAGCTAAACCCTCTTGTTTAGAAGCCTTTGGAGCCCACACGCCCTTCAGTCACGCTCTTTTTCTTCTATTATTACATTGCTCACCCACTTACTCCATCTATCTCTCTAGATTCTTTGATTAAGAATGGACGAGGATTTCGATATCCCGGCGGCGGACGACATGCTCAACGATGATATGGATCTTCCCGTCGGCACTTCCGGTTTGAAAGTCTGAGAAGAGATGGAGATCGGAAAGCAAGGCTTGAAGAAGAAGCTTGTGAAGGAAGGTGAAGGTTGGGACTTCCCCTAAAGTGGCGACGAAGTTGAAGGTATGAATAAATTGTACTGATAGGAAACAAGTACATAAGAAAGTAGTAAAAGGATTTTTTAAAACGATGTTTCGGGTTCTGTTTGGTTGTTAATTTTCGCAGTTCATTATACGGGGACTTTGCTGGATGGAACTCAGTTCGACTCCAGCCGTGACAGAGGCACTCCTTTTAAGTTCACTCTCGGTCAAGGTAAACGAAGATAAACTTATTTGTATTTTTGGAATTTTAATTCCTGCTGTGCATCGACTTCTATGGGAAAAAATGTCGAGCTTAATCTGGGAGGTAGAGCTTGATTTTATTGCGCTTCACTATTGGAGACAATAGTCCGAAGCAATGTTTTATGTCATAAATAATTAACATGAGCCTTAATTTTAACCTATTAATTAAGCTTGTTTTGTTGCTTTTTTTTGGGGGGGGGGGCGGGGGCGGGAATGCGTTTAAAGTTATGGAAATGGTGTGTTTCTACATATAATCTCCTGTTTTACTGCTTGTTTAGATTAACTACGGAAATATTTTTTTGAACTTACCATATTTGGAATGTAATAAAGGCATTTCTTCGAATCTTCATGATTTGTTCATTTTTCATATTGTGATACCGGCTCATTGCTTTTTATGGTAAATAATTGGTTCTATAGTTTTTTTTTTGGTCTTTTGATGATAATATTGAGGGGTTTCATCTCAGTAAGTTTTTAAGTTCCTGCTTATTATCGGACTTCTTGGTAATGTTCTTGTTGAAAAGAGAAACTGAGGGGAAGTAGCAGTGCACTTTTAATATGGTATTTATGCTTTCCCTTTTATGTTTGCAGGACAAGTTATTAAAGGATGGGACGAAGGTATTAAGACAATGAAGAAAGGTGAAAATGCTACTTTCACCATTCCTCCCGAGTTAGCATATGGTGCGTCTGGCTCGCCACCAACCATCCCCCCTAATGCGACCCTCCAATTCGATGTTGAGTTGCTATCTTGGACAAGTGTCAAGGACATCTGTAAAGATGGTGGGTTATTTAAAAAGATACTGAATGGAGAGAAATGGGAGAATCCGAAGGACCTTGATGAAGTGCTAGGTGCATATACTAATCTGTTCCTTCTTTTGCTAGTTGTACTAAGGATATTATACCAAGAGGAGTGGCTGTTTTGAGTGAGAAAGGTTTAATAATGGATTTGTGTCTCAAACACAGTTAACTATGAAGCTAAGCTCGAGGATGGCACAGTGGTGGCAAAAGCTGATGGTGTAGAGTTTACTGTTAAGGATGGTTCGTATTGACTATGCCATTTCTCTACAATTTATTTCCCTCCTGTTATGTCACCTGTAAATCCTAAAGCACCTGTGTTTTCTTATTCTTTTTCCATGAACAGGACTAGTCTGTCCTGCATTGGCAAGAGCAGTTAAGACAATGAAGAAGGGCGAAAAGGTACTTCTTACAGTGAAGCCACAATGTGAGTTTTTCTCTTTATTCACTTAACATGCAGGTAAATGTGGTCAGTTCTTGTTTTGATTTTTTATGCTACTTTTTTACTATGATAAAGATGGCTTTGGCGAGAAGGGGAAGCCGGCCAATGGTGCTGAAGGTCCAGTGCCTGCAAATGCCACACTCCTGATTACTTTGGAGTTGGTTTCATGGAAAACTGTGACTGAGGTAACTGATGACAAGAAGGTAATTAAGAAGATCCTGAAGAAAGGAGAAGGATATGAGCGCCCAAATGAGGGGGCTGTTGTCCAAGGTTGGTGTTGAACATTAAGTGGAAACTTTTATTTTACTGAATTCAGAACAATTTATATTAAATATATTTTTATACACGTTTTGGCAGTGAAATTGATCGGGAAACTGCAAGATGGTACTATCTTCTTGAAGAAGGGCGAGAATGAAGGAGAAGAATTGTTCGAGTTCTAGATAGATGTAGTTAAGATAAGCCCCCCTTCTGCTTACCATTCTATTGACTTCATGAGAATGCTTCAATTTTTTTCTTTTATAGAGCAAGTCATTGATTGTCTTGATAGAGCTTTGATGACTATGAAGAAAGGTGAAGTAGCACTGTTGACTGTTGCACCTGAGTACGCTTATGGGTCATCTGAGTCACCACAGGAGCTGGCTCTGGTACCCCCAAACTGTACCGTATACTATGAAGTTGGATTGTTATCATTTGTCAAGGTTAGTGGAGCAGTGTGCATGTTATGATTTAGATTCTTTGTTGTGTAAGATATCTTGGAGATTTGTTACAAGTGGTTTTGGACGAGTCACGGTTTTCAGGAAAAAAGAATCATGGAATCTGAACACCCAAGAAAAAATTGAAGCTGCTGGTAAAAAGAAGGAAGAAGGAAATGTGTTATTCAAGGCTGGCAAATACGTGAGAGCTTCTAAAAGATATGGGAAGGTATACTGTGAGATGTGCTTGTTCCTTTGCAAAAGCTTCTGTTTCTGCTTTCCAATAGTCTGTCATTTATTGTTGTTTGTGTGTGCAGGCTGTTAAGTATATCGAACATGATTCTTCCTTTGGTGAAGAGGAGAAAAAGCAGGCCAAGGCATTAAAAGTTGCTTGCAATCTGAACAATGCTGCTTGTAAATTGAAACTGAAGGATTACCAGCAGGCTGAGAAGTTGTGCACCAAGGTTGAAATTGTCTTCACGACTGTGATCATAACTTTTACTTAGATCATATAGTAATGTTAACTTGGGCATTCATGCACATGCAGGTTTTAGAATTAGAAAGTACAAATGTGAAAGCCCTGTATAGAAGGGCCCGAGCATACATCCAACTGACGGATTTGGATTTGGCAGAGTTCGATATTGAGAAAGCACTCGAGCTTGATCCCAATAATAGGTAACTTGTCCTAACAAGCTTGAGTTCGATATTGAAAAAGGCGTTGTCTTGTCTTCTATGACTTTTGTGTTTATTATTTTGTTTGATATGATCAGGGAGGTGAAGCTTGAATACAAAGTTTTGAAAGAGAAGATGAAGGATTACAACAAGAAGGAAGCCAAATTCTACGGCAACATGTTTGCAAAAATGAATAAAATGGAATCATCTGATTCGAGTGCAAGTGCTGAATTGCGTATATAAAAGTTGTACAGCATCTTTGATGATTCTTATGGGTGGTTTCATTTTTCAAATGGGCAGAAATCATCAGGTTCGAAGGAAGCCCAATCAACGAGTATAGATATCAAGGCATAGGCGGAGGAACTGTGGCTTAATCAATGGTAACAAAGGTAGTTGATGCCTAGTTTCTTCTATGGCCTTAACTGCTTGTTTTTTTATTCAGAGGACATAGACAAGTTTAGTACTTTATTAAACATATATCACCTTATAATTATTTCATACTAATAATATATATAATATCTTAGACCCATCTGATTAATTGGTTAAATTAAAAGTTAAACAATTAATCAAATTCGTAATTTTAGTATGTGTAAAGATGACTAGTATAAACAAAAAATATTACTGATTTAAAAGGTCAAATGCCAAAGTCTCGTCTATTTTTTTTTCAACTTTTAGATTTAATTATATGTGTTTACTTTTATATATGATTTCTTACTAATATTTAATTTTTAGTTTTCGTTTTTTTTATCTATATATATTTTTGATCTCGTGTTGTTTTTTTTATAAGTTTCACTAATATGTAAATCTATATGTATCCTAAAGGAGAAAAATTACCTACAATTGATATCTTTTAAAATAAATATTGAAATATCAAGTTTAACTAAATAATTAAATGTGTACGACCTTTAACTTTTTCTAATAATCATACTAACTCTCAAAGTTGAAGTCAAATTTCATTAGAAGGTAATATCAATTCACTCATAAATTATTTTTTTCGTAACGTGAAACAACAATGTGTGATGTTTGAAAAAAATAAATGTTTTAAAAATTGTTTTAACTATTCTATTATTCTTTACGTTTATCTTCTTTTTCTTCCCGATTTAGAAGATTTTGTCTTGATTAATCTCGATTGATCCGCATCGTGCATTTAATTTTGATAAGTGATCTCCTAACAATATTTTTTGATGTATGTAATGACTCGAGATTTGTTTAAACGATATTAAGCGATATCAAACTGATTCGTCGGTTAATCATAATACGGTTACTTTTGTCAATTATTTGTTTAATTTGGAAACATCGAAGTGTAGTGGAATTTAAAATGCGTTAACACGTGATTTTGTTTTTCTTTAGTAAAACGGTAGAATGGGAAAATGATATTTATGGACAAAATATGGCTAAGCTAAGGCATGAATCGATACATTGACTTTAAGTTTTCGCAAACCACAAAACAAACAAGTGCAAATGATGGCTACACACACCACAAAGAAAATATCACGCTTTTTATACAAGACATGGTAATTATATCAAATTTTTAGGCCCGCTGAATGTTTTTATTTCGAAATGGTACGTAAGATGATTATAAGATAATATTTGTTTATAATATGTTTTAGTCATCGACAATGCACGCATACCTTGCAGTCATATCTATTTGAACACAGAACCTCTAGGAAAAACAACACTTCTCTTAACTATTAAGATCGTTTGATAGGTTTAAAGTTGTTGAATGTTTGTTTTATATAACAGAGGAATGAATTATAGATATTAGAGTTTAAAATTTAAACTCGTTGAATATTATTTTTTTTATAATAATTTTAGTAATCAATTACGTCTTATAAGTTTTATAGAAACTCTCTCTTAAAAGTGAGTGTATGAGATACCTGGATTAAGTTTCAAAATCAATGAAAGAAACTTCAGAATGCAGAAAAACAAAAACACATGGTTATAGCTGGAGAGCATGAAACAATGCGCGGTTGGTGAAACAAGTGATGGGGGAAAGGGTTGTTTCTTCTTCCTCTCCCAAACCGAATTTAAAATAAGCAGGTAACAAAAAGACACCATCCCAAATTAAAATTAGTGCCCCAAAAAAGGTTTTGTAAAAAGGGTGGAAGCAAAGTTAAAATAGGGACAATGACTTTGTTAATGGGACACCCACACTAATCATCATTTAGATAGTGCCCTACAACATCAACCAATTGCCTTCAAAACATCTCACTCCCATCCCTTCAAAGCATTCTTTTATCATTAGTTGTGGAGACTCGGGTGGCTTTTGTGTTTTAGCACTATTGTTTTCTTTTGGGGGAATTGAGGGTTTGGTTAGCACATGCGTTTCAGGGTTTGATTAAGACTTTTTACCAAAAACCCTAGGATCAACGTACGCATACTGCTTGAAGCATTAGAGGGATTTATGGGCACGGTTGAAAAGAATGATGATAATAGTGGTACCATCTCCCACATATAACATTGGCACAATGAAAATAGTGTCAGGTCATCTAACGTCATTTTTACACATGTTTATTAACACAATCGTGAAAATGGTCATTTAATATACTTGGCATTCAAAACACTTGAATGTATCATACCAACAAATAAACCAAAATTTATAAAAACACGTGAAGTATTTTAACATATAAGATAAGATAAGATGTTTTTATAAATTAACATCTAAAAACAATATTTTATTGTTAATAAATATTTGATTTAAACATATAGTAATAACATTTGAATTGATAATTTTTGAAGTTTTTACTTATAATTTATTTCTCAAATGCGGTACAAATACGTATAATTATAGTTTGGTTCAAATAAGCACTGTCAAGTGAATATATTAAACTTCTAATGCTATAAATAAATTATTTATTTTTGTTGGAAATTTTCTAGAAATCTTAATATAGCAAACAATATAATTCTAATAAACAATATAATAAAGAATAACTTTCGTACATCCTTTTAATACATGAAATTATCAATTTAATATTTAGATATTATTATTACAATTCCCACATTTTGATATTAAACTCAACTATGTCTGGATTTGAGCAATTGTGCATGTAAAAAAAGAATGTTGTTCTGGCTAGAGTTTCTGGATTTGAACAATTGTGTATGCACAATGTGTGTGCAAAAAGACAAAATTGTTATAAATAAATGAAGTTTAAGGGAAAAATAATATAATTAAAAAACAAAAATATTGATTTAAGTTCAAGATAATAACAAAATTACCTTTAATCCTTTAATTAAAAAACCTGTGAGTCTTTGAATTTTGAATTGTTGTGAGAATTTGAAATACGAGACTGAAAATTTGTTTATAATTCAAAATTTAGCTGTCAAATGACAAAATTTTATTCTTCTTTGACATTTTGAGTGGACTCATGATATACAAATTTTCTTATAATTGAGAATCTTGATATTTATAAAATTGCAGTTGACCGCAGCTCAGCAATAATTACACTTTTTTGGTTGTTAAAGGATAAACTACGTATGAAATCACCTATCTATTCACGTGGTTACGTTTTGATCACCCAACTAACATTTTTTTCAAAATCATATTTAATATTATATTTTAATTATGTTTTAATCATCCGCTGTTAAAAAATAAATATAAATATTGATGTGGCGATTTTTTTATTCTTTTCAATGATAATATGGTATCACTTTATGATGGTTGATGACATGTTAGCACAACTGTTAATTTTTTAACGAGATGATCAAAACAAGACCAAAATGTAACATTAGATATGATTTAAAAAAATAATTTGATGACCAAAATGAAATCATATAAATAAGTGGGTGAATAAATACGTGGTTTACCCAAATATAAAAAAAAGAGTTGCCCTCCAACCAACAATTACAGCTGGTTAACGCCATAGTCTTGGTAAAGGATCAAATCCACCATCTCACCCCCAAAATCACAAATTCTTGTTCAATTCTGGCATTATGTTCAACTTGAACCGTAGACATTAGCCAATAAACTTTTTGTTTAATGATACCCAGAAATTTAATTTCCTTTTTTTTTTTTGGAATTTCAGATTGGATTCTTTTAATATATTCATCATAATCATAATTGCAGTCTACGAAATATTAAAAGTCCAATGATTAAAATTAGCATTAACCAATATAGTATATCTTACAAATGTGGGTGCCTTTTGCTAATAAGATGATTGCACCATAAATACCCAAATATTACATCGGATAATTTGGTAAGCAAAAATACTCAGCAAATGAGAAAATTAGAAAGAAGACAAAATCATTGACAAACCACCCCAAAAAAATTATAAAAGGGTGAAAAGGAGCAAAGAATCCTGCCCTTTTTTTAACCTAAGCATAGTGGTAGTTCATGCACCTGCTCCATTCTTTGTATATACACCAGCCGTTTTCTCCTTGGATTGGAGAATGAATGGTTGTTACTAGAGCTCCACCTTCATCTCACCTGACCCTGTGTATTCAAACAACAATAATTTCATACAAATTTAATGCAAACAAAAATTATTATTGCTTATTGAAATTACAGTTTCTTACCCTGCAAATTCTCTGCCCTGCTTTGATTTTGGCCAATCCCCATTTCAACTATGGTTTGCAGGTCACCCTCACATACTGTTAGGTACTGCAAACATTATTGTGCAAAGTTTTAGATTTTTCACAACTCTTAAATTAAACTTAGTTCGGTTGACATAATTATTATTAATATCTAGAAGAATGCAAGATCAGATATGTTTAAACATTGTATTAAAGAAACTGTAAAATTTAAACAAAAAGGATGAAATTTGAGTGCGGAAAAGGAAATTACCGGAGGCAGAGAACGAGTAAATTGGTGAATTGGAGGGGGTAATGGGTCCCCTAAGGATTGGGGCATTGTCCCATGCGGTGCTGGATTTTGCTGGGTATGGTGTTCAAATATGGGTGATGCCGAGGAATCTATTGGGAATATTTGATGTGTCAAACTGTTGTTTGATTGAAATACCTGCACAAACAAACAACAAAAAGTAAATCCCTACCATTTCAAAGATCTGAAGCAATTTTATATAAAAAATTTCAATATATTTAATGACTTACATCCTTTGGCATGAACCCATCCACGTTAAAATCCATCCCGGTATTCACTGAAGCTAACTTCATTGAAAGGAACTGCCAATAAAATATTATTCATAAAACCATTGAAGTAAAAAAAAAACTTCCATCCTAAGAAATTGAAGCTCCTCGCGTTCATCGATAAATGTTTAATCTTTTTTTACCTCAACTTGACGCTGCAATGATTGAACGTAGTTTATGATTTCATCCAGCATTAAGGCTTTTCCAGTCACCTACAAGTTGGAAAATTCGAACACCATCATATTTTAGAATTACAGCAATAGCTTTTATTTTCTTCTGCCAAGTTTTTCAACAAATTCCAGACCTTGTTGCAACCAGGAACAAGATTTTGCAGAAGCTTCATTCTCTCGCTGATTTTCTCTCTACGGACCTAATAAAGTGACAGATTAAATAGAGTTGATGTAAAATGCTTTGAATTGAGGGGGGGGACCTGGGTTTATGGTTCTCACTCGTTCAGCTAAACTATGGCTGTCAGTGGCTTCTCCCCTTCTTGCTCGAACGTGAATGTAGTCTTTGGGAGGCTCAGGAGGTTTTGTGTTTGCATTTCCTTTTGATTCTTCCTCTGTTTTGACTGAACCATTTTGGTTCCCATTGCTTTCTGTTGATATGCATCCCTTCTTCTTTGATTCTTCGTTTTGTTCAGTCGCCTGGAAATTGATAAATTAGAGATTACTGGATGTTTTAAAACAAATTATCTATGAAATCTATGGTGTGATTGTTTGAGATTCTGTTTACCTTTGCAGCATTTATTGATGGAGATGTTGAATTCTGGTTTGTTTTTGCTTCGGAAACTGTTTTTCTTTTCCTTGAATTCGCCCTTTCCGAAGCTTTTGGATCGCCATTGGTAATGGAGGATTCCTCTTGAGAACTGGCCAACTCGGATCGATCCTGCAATGGGGTATTACTCTTATAACCTATTTGACACACCGCCATTGCCTTTAAAGAAGGACTACTGGAAACACGAGGTATCTTGGCATTTGACAACGATGGATTAGATCTGTAACCAGCGATTTCATTGTAACTGTCGTTGAGTCCGAGTTGAATCGTTCGGCCGTTGAAACTCCGGCTTCCGAAACAAGAGAATTTCGCTGCTCTCTCTGCAAATTCAGGATCGGCCGAGAAATCCGCCACACTGGAATTCATCCCCATTGATTTTCCCAAACTGGGAAACTTCTCCGTGACCGTACCATCCATCATTGGCAAGTTCAATTTAGGAGGAGAATTCAATGGGGTGCTGTAACAAGAAGTGTTGATGCTGTTGTTTCCATTGATGTAAGAAGAAGAAGCCATTAAAGGGTGTGGGGAGATGTCGCCGGAGTTATCGATGCTCCCCAGTTTGCCGAGCAATTCCCTGAACATGAATATGTCGTTGGAGGTATTGGAACCCGATGCCGCCGGAGAAGACACCATCGAACTCAGTGCCGACTCGAACTGTAGACCGTAATCTGATGAATTCAGCTCCGGTGCTTGAATTTCCATGGCTGAAGATAGGGACTGCCCGAAGTTTAATGGCGGTCCGACTGGTGGGATTCCTTGAGCACTGAGAAAAAACTGGTTTTCCATTTGACTAAAAAATCTTGTTCAATGTGAAAATCCAGATAAAGAGTCCGTTAAATTGTTTGATATTTAAGTTCGGGTTCTATATTTTCCAGGAAATTATTGAATTTTTTATAGAAGAAAAGGCGATTCCAAGAGAAAGAAGGAAAATGCTAAAGCAAAAATGAGAGAAAAAGGCAAACAAATGGGAAGACTTAAGCTGGGCTGCACTGGACTTATATAGATCCAGCTGAAATAATAATTTTTTTAAATAAAAAACAATAATATATATTTTAGGATAAAATACATAAATGGCCATCAAATTGTGTTGAATTGATCTTTTCTACCATATAAAGTTTTAAAATTTTTAAAAGGATCATTAAACTTAATAAATTACTATAAGATAATCATATTATATGTTTTGATGAATTTAATGAAAATTTTATATGATTCAGTAAACTTAAGAATTATTTTTGTACTAGATCTATACAATTTAATGATTATTTATATTTATTGGGTAAATCGAATAACCATTTTGTAATTTTTAAAATTTTAATAGTTAACAAAATATTATTTTTACACAATTTAATAATTATTTATGTACTTTATTTTAACTCTTATATATGAAAATAAAAGGTAACAGGGAGGGATTTTTTTTTAATTTCTGAATTTTAATTTTATAATGATAATGCATGTTTAAGCAAAGTAATTAATAATAATAATTTTATTTCCCCCGTAAAAGGCGGAGGAGGGGGTATTGGCGGGCCTTAAACGTCAAAGCACCAAAATGTCGTATCCCCTCTTGAAATCCTCAATCCAACCCATTGCCCCATGAATTCCCTCCAAACTCTCCCACTGTTTTCTTTTTCACCCCAAATTAATAAAAAAAATAAACTCGAGTAAAAAATAAATTTTATAAATATTTTTATATGATTTTTAAATTTACTGTTTAAATTAATATGAAGACATTGAGCATGTAAATAAATCAAATGATATATTCTTTAATTTTGTAAATAATGGTCCGAGAAGGATATTTCAAGACCAAATGGAATTTTAAGATAAATATGGCGAATCACATTAGGTTTGTAGGATGTAAATATCACTTTTTTAATGAAAATTTTCAGAATCCCCATTCTGGTAAATAATTTTATATTAGGCAATTAGAGTCAACAGAAGGGGTTTAATTTTTTAAAAATATATTTTTTTCAACCACTTCTTTATCAACCACACAGATTAAAAATAAATAGTTCAAGTTGAGGCTAAGTCAATCATTGCATTAAATTCTCAGCCTCGCCGGTTAACTCGGCTTTGGTCGGGTTCACATAACGTACACCATAAATTTATTAATCCGTTACTTACCTTACTTTCTTACCAAAACACTGTCTCCTCCTATATACTACTAATATTTGTTATTTCTAGGTTAAATTATATATTTAGTACTTAAACTATTACTATGTTTTATTTTAGTATTTAATTTTTTAAACTATACCTATCATTTAACTTACGTTTTAATTTAATATACTGTCATTAAAAAATTAAAATGTGTAATTTTATTTATCTTTTCAATGATGATGTGACATTATCTTATGATGACATGTTAATACCGTTAAGTTTTTAATTGTGGGTTCCAAATTTAAACTTAAACTAAACATTAACTATGACGTGAAATATCTATTAGTTCCTCCACAGTGATTTTGAGAATTAATTTTACATATCGAGTTAATCAAAGACATAATTCAGATTTATAAAAAAAATGATTAATTCAATGAAACTATACTATTATTATTATTCAACCAATGAGTTGTAAATTCGTAAGTTAATCATAAGCAAATACAAATTATTGAATGCATTGGTGGGATAATCACTTAAACTATGATACTTTAGGATTCTGAAATTTACGACGAAACCAAATAAATCTTGGAGAGGTTTAATGATTAGAACGAGGAAGATAAAAAGGCAGAGGGGATACGATTCATTAATGTATTTCGACATCCTAATTCACTGTGTTTTCGGCTTATTAAGGAGATGGATCTTGTCGGCTACATCCGAATTTCATTTTCTCATTAAAAAATAAATAAAACAAAACTATTGTTTTGTTTTTCCTTTTGCCCGCTTCTTCTAATTAACCACTCCCACATTATTAGCTACTTTTGTCGCGGGGTTTCGACAGCATATTTTACGAATCTTTTTCTTAAATTAAAGGACCACCCTAAATTATTTTATTCCTTTTTCGATTTGGTCAGTTTTATTATAAATATATATATTTTATTATAAGAGCGACTGCTGCTGCTTCTAATTATTCAACCTTTTCCACCGACGTTTATGTTTCTCAAGGATCGGTCATTTTATGTAAAGTTTTAAATAAACATTAATGGAGGAGATGATTTTAAATACAACCATAATAAAGTATAATATAAGAGCCATAAAATATAATTTATTTATTAAAAACATAATTATGGTAGGAATTCATCAAGTAACTTTAGTAGTAATAGAAAATATTATTTTCTCCAGAAATCTTAGGTTCGAGCAAATGTGTTTATAAGGTATGTGTACGTTGTCAATCGGTTAAGAAAATTCTAAACAGATAATATCTTATAAACATCGTAAACTATTCAAAATATATATAATTATAATAGGAGCTGCTGCTTCTAAATATTCAAACTTTCCGACGGACATTGATGTTTCTCGTTGATAAATAATTTAATGTATTTTTTTTTGTTTTAAAATTTTAATCTTTATATAAAAAGATTATAAAAGAAATTTATAAAATTATTATCATTAGTGAAAGATTAATATAATCAGCACAAATATAAAATACATATAACAATAATAACATATTAACAAATCAACTTATAATAACTCAGTTACAACATATTTTTTATGTCTATTAATAAAAGACGTTAAATGACAATGAAATTACGCCAACCCCGTCGTCTGCCGCGGCGCTCTCATTAATGCTGTTCCGGTAAACGAAGAAATCCCTTTCGACTGGGAAATGATATGTGAACGCTGCTATATCATTTATATCCCTGCAATACATATGCATCAAATATTCCTAAAATTTATTAACTTCTCCATGTTTACCTTCAATGGACGATGAATAGGATCTTTGCCAACGTTTTTTTGTTTATTAAAAATATTGAATTATGTATAATATTATTTATTTCATTACTTTCTTTAATCAAAATTCAAACATATGAGTTGAGTTTATGACACACTATCTTTTATTTGTCCGTTCTATGAACAATTATTTACTTAAAACGTATATCCAAGAGAGTTCGTCGTTCTTCTATTCTAATCTAAGAGGAACAACTGGAAAAAGAACGTGGCGAAATTGAAACTAAACATTAAATTCATATGCCTGAGAATTGATTCATGTAGGGTTAGGGTTTTGAAGGTTGAATAGTGGTCAAAGATATCAAGCTTACGTGTCTGTAATGCATGGGTGAGCAGGCACCGTCCAATCAGATCCAAAACCCTACTCTGATTCTGCAAATTCATTATCATTTAATTCCTCTGCTTTGCCAACATTTTTCAAACCTTTATTTATTACATTCTCATACCCATATTCATCTACCTGATCTGCATGTATCATATTTGATATTATGATGCAACTACGGAACAAAAATTAGGAACGTATTGGAATGGATATTTAGTCAAATACAATCACTAGACAACATAAATAAAGATAATTTATAAAATGAAAAGATAATGTATTTAGATTTTAAATTTTGATTTTAGAAAGGTTGTTGCATAATCTTATTAGGAACAAGATTGGTGGTGTCTGTAGACACTAATTTTTATTTTACTTAAATTATTATTATTATTATAAATATTATTTATATTTATATATATTATTATTATTTAATAAATATTACAAACCCAAAAATAAGGCCCGATTACAACCAGGCCAGATCAGAAATGGCCCAAAACAGATGACCCAAACCCTTTTGGGTTTGTAACATATCAGCTAGGGTTTTCTAACCCTAGCCCCAGCCGCCGCTGCTTCCAGAAGCTCCCAGCTGCCACGCGGCGCCGCCTCTACCATTGCCTCATCCCCCTGCTGCCAAGTGCTCCAACCAGCCACTGCCGACGGTCAGCTGCCCCACGTCGCTACCTCACTGCCACGACACCCATCGAAGCTCCCAGAGGAGTCATTCCAGCCGTCCACGCATCCCATTCTTCGGTTAGTCACCACAGGTTCGGTGACTCACTAGAAATCATCTCTAGGACCAGTCCGACGAGAGCCTCGGTGGTGGCTATAAAAGCCACCACACCTGCAAAGAGAAAAAAGGAGACAGCCACGAAAACAGAAGGGAAAACACAGACAGAAACGAAAAGAGAGCACAGCAAATATAAACGAGACACTACGAGAAGAAAAACTACCAACGATCTCATTCAACGACGAACCAGTATAAAAAAAAATAGAAGAGAAGAGAAGAGAGAGCTTACTTTGTCATCGGAGGCACTCGAAACATCACCGGAAACCTTCGGATTTCGAAGGTAAAATCCTAGATCTAGGAATTTCTAAGGATTTTTAGGACAAATAGAGGCCGTATTCGACCTTAGGATGTAGAGATCTACGGTTTGGGCTAATTTTCCTAACTCCGGTCGATGGTAGAGTAAGGTTGCCGGTCGCTGGTCGGCCAGCCTCCGGCGGGAAAAAGGAAGAGAGAGGCGAGAGAGTTTTTCTTCTCTCTCAAATAGAGAGAGAAGAGGAAAGAAGCGAATAAAGATGCTGGCCCGTAGGGCCAGCCATTTAGGGTTTATAACCCCTCCCCCATACGACGTCGTTTAGGGGGAGGGGTGTGTGTGTAATTTCTATCAGGGGTAAACCATGTCCGCAGTCATTATAGTTTGTGATCATTACAATTTAGTCACTGAAATTAATTTCTGATTATTTTAATTTAGTCTTTTAATTTTATTTTATTTTAATTTAGTCCTTATCAGCATATATATATTTAAGGTAAATATCAAATTTAGTCCCTCATAGTTTAGTAATTTTTATTTTAATCTCGTATTATGAATTATGGTTAAATCACACTGTTAGTACTCAAGTTTTATAATATTTCGAATTAGAACTTTAGTTTTATAATCTTACATTTTAATCATTAATTTCATTAGTTTTTATTTTTTACTATGATTTTTAATATTTTACATTTTAATACTATATTTTTATTTCCTTTTATTTTAATCATTATTTATTTTATTATTATTATTTTTATTGTTTTAATTATTATTTCATTATTATTATTATTCATAAAAATAAATAAATAAATATATATATATATATATAATAAATAATATATATTTTTATTTAAAATCCTATATTTCATAAATTACTTTTAATAATTATGTTTTAATATATATTTATTTATTTTTCAATATTAAGAAATGGCAGTATTAAAATAACTGGATGTCCATTTTCTGATATTTTTAAATAAATAAATATCCTATTTTTTTAAAATTATTAATTGTTTATTTATTAATATCGAAGAAAAGAGCTGTCTTAAGGCACCTAGAAGTCATTTTCTGATATTTTTAAATAAATAAATATTTTATTTATATTTTATATATAAATATATTTTTATATAATTATAACTTTGAAATAATAGGATTATAAATTAAATATATTTTTGAATTTTTAAATTTCCAATAATAAGAGACAATTTATAATTAATAAGTACCAATTTTGGGCGTTGTGGGGGTGCTAATCATTCCCCAAACGTAATCGACCACGAATCCCTTTTTATTATTAAAAAGAACGAATTTTTGGTTAAAACGCAGATCAATTCATCTTTTAACTGATGTTTCCTTAAAACTCTTTTAAAAGATAATTTTTAGGTATTCGACCTACCTAACCCAAAAGGCCGATGGCTACTCCCAAATTATTTTAAAAAAACCATTTATTCACATCACTTTTCCCGTCAAGTAAATATTTCGTGCCCGGTCGAAAACCGGTTACGACAGTGTCGATCAATATCAATTTATTTCTTTTGATTTAGACAGATAATCACATCTAGTGATTGATTGGTGGTAGGGATGGACCAAGAGGGGGCAATAATCCCCTTAAAATTTTCAAAATCTTATATATTTTAGATATTTTCTTTAATTTTTTTATTGAAATTTTGTTTTTGTCCCCCAAAATTTCATAAGTATGTATACTCTTAAAATTTTATAAGTTCGTCCTGTCTAACATAAAATTATACATTCATCCCTGATTGGTGGTTGATCGAAGAGTTGGTTATAAGAGTGAGCCAAAGGCGGAAACCTACCTTTTCTACTCATTATAAGAGTATATATACACATTGCTAGTGTTGATGTTAGACGCGGAATTATAATAATTATTTGTACAATAATAGAATAGATTTATCTAGCTGATGTGATCAGATGATTGTTTATTTTGATACTAACATATCACGTTGATTTGTCAAGAATCATATAAGCTAATTGCATTTTCTCAAAATTTAAATCTTCTGAATTCTTCTTCCGGAAAGGTTTCCTTTATGTTGTCCTAACTTTTGAGGCGTCGGAGGTTTAAAGGTACTTTAGGGTCATTCGATAATTGTGAACTGCAATGATAAATGATATATGCGGAGAATTTTTAACGAGTACAACAAATATCTCTGGTACAATAAATATATTAAAGAATTATAATTTTTATATTATTTAAAAAATCAAATGATGATAAATTAATAATATTATTAAGAATATATTTATTAATTCAATTTAAGATGAGATATAAAATTATACATATTACTTCAAATATTAATGTTTTAATGTATTTATAGAATGATTTCAGTACAGTATGATTTCCCAGTATTCAACAACGACTGCACTTTTACAGAAAGAAACAACATCTGTCAGTAAATCTGATGACATAAACTCTTGTCACCGTGACACAGGAGTGTCGATTTTCAAACACGTGATTATTTTGATTAACCGTTAATGGTATACAAAACTCATAATGCATGCAAAAATGCAATCATTTGACGCCAGAAAGTAAATTCAGATGAAACAAGCTATAAAAACAAAATAAACTTTCAGCTTGTATATTTATTTAGCTCTATCCTGTAACACTCTTGACATTTTTATATAATAAAAATTCATAGTCGAACATTGTTATTTGTCGGTATAATGTGCCAAAAAATATTAAATAAAACCCTAGATTGAAATCTATAAAGATAATTAATCAGAAAAATAAGAAAAGGATGAGATAATTCAACAGGCAGTGAAGGCCAGCTTGTTCCATCATCACTGACCGTTCATTTTTTTTTCTTGATCATGTCTCTTTATTATGGAGACTCTATTAATTTAGATTTTTTATAACTATTTTAATTAAATTTATTAATTTACTAAACCCCTATATGAGTAAGTGGATATTATTTTTTTAAAAGTTGTTAAATTTAATTTTGTATATTAAGAGAAAATAAGAAAATAAATGAATTTCTATACTTATTTTTTTTAACAAAAAGAATTAAAAGTTTAGACCATCATTTTTAAATTTATAGATTCGTAGGATGACACTCTCAATCTAATTTATTTCATTTACAAACGTTAAAATTTAAACCTATGATATCTAGATTTTTTATTACGAAGTTTTATCATTCTACTATGAAAATATTTATTACAAATGGTATTGGTATTACTTTAATCCCGGGTGTTGTGTTTCTTGTCTTGTAATTGAGAAGGACATGGGTTTAGTAAATTAAATTAAAATGAAACCAAACCCCACAAGAAAAAAAGTAAAGATGAGGAAATGAAAATGACAAGTAATATGGAAGTCGTGTGTCTGTTGCGTGATTTCTTGGTCTTAATTTTATTCCAATCCAAGCTAATGATGCGTTGGTGGTGGAGTGCTTTTGTTGGTCTAGGGCTGTTTTAAAAATGATTTTTTAGTTTAATAATGTAATTAACGAAGTTTAATGATGTGTAGCTAATTTTTTATTTTAAAATTTAAATGAAATGGTCGGTGCATTGTTGTCCGGAACCAGAAATTGTTAAAACTAGCGGCGGCGACACGACGATTAAACCGCCAAATTCGTAGGACTATTTTAATAAACAAAGGGACGCGGGAGAAGAAATTTGATAACTTCACCCATGAGTTTACAGTCGCGGACTCACCCGCCAATCAGATCTCTGCTTTCAATTGACCTTGGGTTTAGGAGTTTTGTATGTGACCAGACCCTTTTAGCTTGTAATTTGCTGGCGTTTTGGGTCAAGTGATTCTTAAGAATTACACAAATATATAAATTTTCTCTTTGCAAACTAAAATCTCAATTGGATGACACCATCATTTGATTTGTTGTATACCCAGTTCAAGTTGGCGAGGGCTGAAGATCCAAATGAAGTAAGGGCAGCCCAGTTTAGAGCAGGACAAGATAAAATAGACTTGTTAAACACACCACTGGGCCTACTTTTACAAGTTTGTTTTTTGTTTTCATAAATCGAATAGTATACATTTAGTGTATGGATTAAACAGGTTGAACTAATAATTTGGGAAACTGCATTTGCGGGCTGTTATTAATTTATAATTTCACCTTTTAAACTTACATTAGTTGGATGAGATAATACAAATATACTAAAAATCAAACATTAATGGAAAATTTTGACATCACAACCACTTAAATACTAATGTGGTATATATTATATTAACAATTAAATACATGTGGTAATATATTACTAATAACAAAATATTGATTATTAGTTAGATAATAATTTTTAAAGTAAATTATACCCATGATCACTTAATTATTGTCACTTTTTATTTTGACCATTGATTTTTTTAATTTTGTTAATTAAACTATCTAACTATTTAATTAGTTCAATCAAACCATCAGTCGTTAATATTTAATAGAGGTGGTGACATGTCTGTTAAAAAATTAACATAATTATATATTTAATCCTCAATATTTACATAATTTATCGATTTAGTCCTAGTTTTAATTAAAGTTAATAAATTTAATCTCTAATTAGGTGATGACACGTGTAATTTAAAATTACAATGAGGCTTAATAAAATAAGTGCCCAAACTACACCTCTTTTCTCATTTAAGTGCCTAAACTTTTTTTTGTTCAATTTAGGTGCATAACGTTTCAAATGTTATCATTTAGGTGCATATGTCTTGACGGTCGTTAAAAATAAGACAACCAATCAATATTTGATACGTGGTTGATTTTTTATTTTCTTTAATTTTAAAAAAGCAACATTCATAAATTAATAAATAAAAACTCAATTTTTTTATAAATGGTCCCAATACTTTCAATTTCGACGTCGAACATCACCATCACCAATGATCATTAACTCACTCGTCGTCGACCACCCGTCGACTTATTAGGATAGATGGACATTGGAATTTATGGATTTATGGTTTGGATTTAAGGATTTGGGTTTAAATATTTGGGGGTTTGAAGCCACGATTGATGATAACCAATGGGTGGATAGGATGCAATCGGTGAGGGCATCCACAAATGTGGAAACTGACAGGTGAGGTTGATGCTTTGGGATTAAGGATTTTAAGATTTTTTCGAGATTTTAGATTTTTTAAATTATAATAATTTTTAGTTTTTTTAAATAACTTTTTAAAAATTTATAAAGGCATAAATTTTTTAAAAAATTATAAAGGCATCACGTGTCACATTCTTAGTGGTTGATGAAATTTTTTTAACGTCCGTTAAGGTCGAGATACCTAAATGATAACATTGTGGAAACATTAAACACATATTAAAAAAATTAGATACCTAAATTAAAAAATATATATAATTTAACATTTTTTTATATTAAGCCTTTTAACAATAGTAAGACAACAAAATTTTGTTTTAATGCATGGCTAGACAGAGACCTTTATTTGAAAGTAAGTTGTATTTTGGTATGCATTGTCCAATAACGATTGTTGAACATATGGCTAAGGAAGAATAAGATCATCAAATATGAGGAGTTTGTTGATAGAGACAGTGTATTGGAGTATAGTGTTCGTTTGAATTTTTTTTACTAATTTTCATTTGATTAAAGATTATTTAAAAAAAGAAAATGTTAAAAAAATAAAAGATAAAAATTCAAATGAACACTATACATATTTGATGATCTTTTGATATATGATCTATTGATCGATTAATCCATATAAGATTTTTTAGAGATTCATTATGATGGTGACCCTCCTAATATAATTTTATTTCATTCGTAAGTATCAGGATTTGAATTCTTAACCTTATTTAAGAATCTAATAATAACTCATTACACTAAACCAATTAATTATTAATAAAATTTAAATAATTACTTAATCAAATATTAATAACATTCGCTCAAAGCCGAATAAACCATATGCAGTGTAGGATATGCGGCAACCTGTAGACCCTAAAGGCCGCATCTACATGGGAATATTCCACCTTTAAATCCCCATGTACTAAGTGGAGTATAATTTAAGCTCGTCACTCCAGATGTCTGAGCCTAAAACCCCAACAAACACATACAAAACCAGTCATATTCAAAACTCCAATGGCTAGTTTTCATAGAAGAGTGAAACGAGTCACTGACCCGCTCGACGACAGGGTCAAGGCTCAACTCGTCGGCGCCGGTTATTTCAGCAGCGGAAGCGAACACTCTGCCTCCTCCACCGTCGTCGGAGATGACTCTCCTTCCCTCTCTGAACTCGTTCATAGTTTCCTCCAAGATAACCACGATGCCGCCGATCAACGGGATGGTAATGATACTTACGCCGCTGACGCCGATTTAGTCATTTCAGACCTTGATGATACGGCGCAATGCTTCCTTAGTAGGTCAGTTTTCCACTTTCTATATCATGGATATATTTGTTGGAATATAGAACTATATAACTTAATTAGAAGGAAATTTGTGATTTTTGTAAGAGTTGGTTCGGAATGGTTATCACCGGCTTCCACACTTGTTGCTTTGAATGTATGAATTATGAAAATGGTAGTCTTATATGAGTTCTTTTATACAGTTGGTGTATTGAAGGTTGTACTTAAATATTCTGCAGATTGTGAGAAGCATGATCCGGAGGTGAACGAGGATACTGAAAAGAACTTCACAGAACTTCTGACTGAAGAACTGAAGCTAAGAGAAGCTGAAGCTTTGGAAAGTCAGCAACGGGCCGACATGGCGTTACTCGAGGCTAAGAAGATAGCATCACAGTATCAAAAGGAAGCAGACAAGTGCAGTTCAGGTATGGAAACATGTGAAGAAGCAAGGGAGAAAGCCGAAGCAGCACTGGTGGCTCAGAAGAAGTTGACAGAGATGTGGGAAACAAGAGCTCGTCAAAAAGGGTGGAGAGAAGGTGTTGCTAAATCTCATACAAACTCGCAAGGTAATGTCCAAGCTGCCTGAATGATCTTACATGCTCAGTGCTATTGCATCTTACTGCAAAATCGGTCCTATAGTCAAGAATTCCAGAGTTAATCTTATAGGTAGTCTAATTAAGTTCGTGTTTGATCTTTAAGTATAGTTACCCTTGTTTTTCGTAATTCCACATTTCCACTTAAAGATGTTGGTGTTTTGGGTGAGTTGTTGCTCTTGAAAGACTGTTTTTAATAATTTTGTCATTCTTGAAAGACTCTTAAAAGTGATTGTGATTTGTGTCATAGAAAAACAAATAGTTTGGAATATAAAACTTGTTCTAGTTCTATTGAGCATTGAGCTTCTTTTTACCTCATTTAAACCTAACATTCTTCCTAAATCTTTTAATTATCCAACTTGGGAAATTTGATCTCTAATTTTGGAATTGAATCCTTCTTTATGATATTATTAAGTAGTGGGTATTTATTGAATGTTTTATTGTGATTAAATTAGTTTCAGTACCATATCAAAATTCTTATAGTTAAAATGCCTCCAACAATTTGGCAAAAGGAAAAAAAATGAACTCACAACAATAATCATTATATAGCAAAAATGAACAGTTCTGAAAGAATGTTGGATTCTGAGGTACAGAGCATCAATTTCTTGAGTGCTGTGGTAGAAAGAAATTTTTGAGCAACCTACTTAAAAGTATAAGTATGAAGATCAGGTTTGCAACTCTGTGATAAGCCCAGCGGTTTATCAAACAAATTTTACAAACATTATAGTTTAACTAAAGCTTCAATTGTGTGCTTCCCCTGGTGCGGAAGTTGTATAGCGAGATCATCCATGTCAGGGCAACCATGAATGATTAGTCCATGCTCATTGGACAAATGTAGCAGGCATATGAAACACAGATGCGGGGAGATCTCCTTGGTTGTTGCAGCAGCTTTACAATCGGCAGGAAAGCTTGCCAAGAGATGCTTAAGGCCCTTCACAAAAGAAAAACATGTTGAAAGTTAGAATTCTCAGCTTAAGGCCCTGTATAGCACTGCTATTGGCCGTTTTTTGTGGTCAAAAGTTAAGATTCACCGCAACAACAATGCTAGATTACCAGTCAGTGAAAGAAATCGAATTTCTAGGGAACCAAACCAAGTTCACATTTCATTTTCCTGCTTTATTTTTTTTCTTCATTAAACATGATGGTTCTTTCATGCTTCATTGTGTAGAACTCGCCATTTTTTTAACCTCTCCATTTTCCTTTTACAAGATTCGTTACTTTTTTTTTCCTGTGTTTGCACTGCTAATGGTGCAAAAAGTACAGATGAATTTGAGTACCTGCAGGTGCAGGTAAAGCCAATTCGGAGAGACTCTAACCACTTAGTGAGCAATATAAGGATAGTAAGATGACTATCGTGTATATTTTTAAAACAGTGTTACAAAAAGCAAAAGAAAATTGGTACCTGAAATGATGTTTCTTGAAATTGTTGTATCTGGTCCCAAAGAGTTTCTTTCAGAGCTTGGACATCAACTTGTTTAGATGTCTTGTCATACTGAACTTCAATTTTACTAACCTGAATGAGACAACAGAAGTGAGAGCCATAAAAGAACTAGCATTAACTACATATTTCATGTATGAGATAAATCTTAAATTACAAATAGCCCATCCCACTCCCAGGGCCTATCATCTAAACTCTCAAAGCAGTAGTTAAGGTTGCAATTAATAAAATAAACTATAAGTCACTACAACTCCTTGTTTCAATCTGGGGGGCACCATCAAGGGCTAGCATGGAGAAACACCAGAAATAAAGGCTGAAAGAACAACCTGTCGAGGCTGAGAAACAAGCATGCCAGAGTAATCAACATCGCTATGATCAACTTCATCGTCAAAACCACCAAATGCACCTTCCTCTTCCCAGGATGGTTGTGGGTCATAATCATCACACTGTTCCCTTGATTCATCTGAAAATCAATTAAGGTGTGAAGATAAAAACTACACCATAGCACATCAGTAAATGTTCTACATTTTATCATCAATAGATACATTGAAACAAGATCCCTTCTTTTGGCCACGAGACAAGATGTAATGTATTAGAAGCAAAACAAGAAACCATTAAGAAGAAAAGTCACGAAAAAGCAAGTTCCAAGTATGCATTCATGAGCCGAAAAGAATAAGTTCCTGTAAGAGATTAAAATCAAATTACATATTTTGAAACATTTAAAATGAATAAACACTGTGTCCTCTAATAAGCTAAAGAACAAGTAAAAACCAGATTTTTAGCTTTAACCCATTTGGACAACAGAACTCCATCCATAATGATGTGAGGGGAAAAAATTCAACTAGAGAAATATGACAAATACAATGTTGGTCCTATCAACATTGGAAATTTATAGACTGATTGGCAGTTCACAAACATTCAAGAAAAATACTACCATTTGAAAAGTATCTATCTATGAGAGAATTACCTGACAGCTTTCTTTTCCTCCTTCCAAGGCACTACAAAAGAATGTCTGTTATTAAAAGAAAATTAAATAATGAGAAAAACATTTGACCAAGTCATATTTAGTAGCAAACTTGTGATCACACATTACCATCACATATGGTAAAAGAAACAATTTGACAAGATCCTCAGGTTGATAGTGGCAATCTTCAGGAAGCTTTGTATTACAAGGTGCTCTGCTTGAAGGTAGCAGTAATGACTTCAGATTTTTGGGAGGAGCAAAGATGTCTGGCACTTCATTATCCAAGGCTTGTGTGAAATCAATATCAGGCTCAGTTTGTTTCTTATTTCTGGTTTTCTTTGTTGTTACAGTTGCTGCATTTTCTTCATTAGAAACATCCTCAGAACCTATGGTATTCATCGCACAAAATTATGTTATTGAACCAAGAAAGGTAAAAATGTTAATAAAATATAGCACTTGTCAGTAGCTCCATAACATGTACCTTTAATTTTTCGATATTTCCAATGATGAGGACCCGCCCAAGCATTTTTGTTTCAAAGGAAATCCCAAGCTCAAAAACAAATATTCATCAACTTCTTCAAATTTGTCATCTACGTCGGGATTGTTGAAAGAAAATTGCTCTGTATCCTGTTGAATTCAATTATGATTTATGAATAACAAGCATACAATTACATTCTTAACAACTTTAAACTATTAAGAGAAGGAAATTTGTTAAACCTCATGATAACTCATGAAAGATGGCTCCACTCCATTAAATTCCTCATCAACAATGCTTGGCTGGTCATCATGATCAAAACCATCAGATTCAAAACTCTCAAATGCAACACTATTGAACTCATTTTCATTATTTATAGTATCAGCTTGGTCTGCTGATCTCTGACTGCAGGAAAAGTTCTCCAATGGCCTTCTGTTATCTTCATTAAATTGGTTGACTATATTCTTGAGAGTCGGTGAAATTTCATCCTTTGCTTGCATGTTCAATACCATATGCTAAAGGTATTCTGTAAATAGATCAAAGAATGGAAGTAATAACAAAACCTACTTTTCACAAATAAAGATGTCAAAACACGCCAGAGAAAACCAAAACCAAACCTTCAGCGAAAGATAGATCAATTGTTTCAGATACATCGTGTTTGTTAGGATCGAAGAGGCTCAAATCAAACAATCGAAAAATGTGCAAAAGGGTGAATTGATAAAAAATTGTTCAGAGAGTAAGGAGAGTAAAAGATAAGACAATGAACACAATGATTTATAGTTGTTCGACTTCTCAACTAAATCTACCTCCACTACCTTAGCTCCTCACTAAGTATTTTCTAACAAATTCACTAATTTGTTATTTCTTTTTCAAGAATTAAGAGTAACCTTTACAAACTCCCTATCTTTTTAATTGGCTTAGATAGAACCAAAAACAACTTTACAAAAGGATAAAAGAAGTAAACAAAGAAACCTCTCTAAAGTAGGTGTTTACAAAATTTAGCTCAAAAGAACAAAATATATACAAGAGAATTGGAATAAAGAGTGAAAAATTATTCTCTTATATTTGATTGCTTGGATAGATGTTAACCTTTCTTCAAGTGTCCTCAACTTGTATTTATATGTTGGAATGTTGTTGTGGCCTTTTCTAGCCATTGGGAGTGTTTTGGAGCCGTTGGGGATCAATTTTTGTGCAAAATAAAACTGCCCAGAACAGAGAGTATCGTACTCCTAAAGGAAGTATCAGTACTACCTTTGTTATTTTTAAATCAACTAGCCGTTACTAGCCATTGGGGCCTAATGATATCGATACTATGCCTATGGTATCGATACTACAGTGTAGAGTAGTATCGGTACCCCTTTGGGTATCGGTATTATTTTTGCATTCTGGAATTTGAGCAATGTTGGTAGTATCGGTACTACCTAGTGAGTATCGATATTTCCCTTATCTTTGGTATCGATACCATATGAACAATATCGGTATTGTTCATTAGGTATCGATAACTGTAAGAACAATATTTGTACTTCTTGTCCAAAAATTCATTTTGTACTCAATTCTACTTTTAAATGGACTTTGAATTATTTTTAAAAACTTTGAAAAACTTTGAATAAATTCAATTCAAGTTCAAAAACATTTTGCCTTAATTGTTATATCAAAATATAGTTCAACATTGTTGATTTGAACAAGGAATTTCCCTCCCTGGCACTTCAAATGAATCAAAGAGAACCTGACATCCAGCATAAACACCAAGAATATTCAACAAAAGACCTTTGGCTTCACCTTCATCAAATTGCGCAGATGTTTGATGTTATAGAGGATCCACTGCAAAGGCAACTGAAAACAAACAGATAGTGTCATAATCAAAGCTTGTGCATCATACTGGAATCAAGATTGTTGGTATGTGTGATTACCATCAAATTTTTTTACATTAAGAGCTTCAAAAGAAGATTCCAATGTTGATAAAGGAACATCTGCATATATAGACAACCATCAATATATTGTTTGAGCTAGAAGTTTTTTCTGAATTTACAGACCACAAACCTTTTTCTCTAAATCTTTCTTTGGATTGCCTTTCTGTGCAGTAGCAGCATTGTTATCCTCCATCACAGAATCTGGCATTGTGACAACAACATATTTAGCTCAAATCAGACAGGATAAAGCAGAGCAAGTCAATGGATAGAAATCTGATGATAACCTATTCTTTCTTTCCATGAAAAAACTTATTGATTAGTCTGCATCAGTCGAGGTTCTAGAACTTGAAGTTGGTCCAAATGTATATGTTTTGATAGCATAGGTGGAATAACTCGTCTGGTTTATCTATTATCTACCACATATGTATATTTACAGAATATAATTAGTTAGGTCCAAAGAGTTTAACAACAACAATGCTGGTAAAATTTATTAAATGTTTAACATGGCATGTCTTTTTACAACCTCTTGCATTTCATGGCAAGCAATGGAGCAGATTATGCCCTTAGCATAGCCTGCTCCTTTATTTAACAGGTTTTGAAACCCAATAAGCTAATCCGAAGAAAAGCAAACGCAACAGAGAGCTTAGATAGCTAAATGTCAGAATCAGACATACAAAAAGTGATAGAGAGAAATAAGGTAGGTACCAGCAAAAAACAAATCTAACCTTGCTCATTTTCATAACATGCTCTGTTTATCCCACCGAGAACCTTGTACGCCTCTGAATGAACCGAATCCACCCTCAGTGAGTAAATCTTAACACCAGCTTCCAAAGTACAACTGGCCTGTACAAAATATATTGCAGCTCATTCCTTAAACATGAGGGAACAATGTCAATATCATCAATTAATCAATCTAGAATGTTTGGCCCTTTTCTCCAAATATATCTGACAGTTTTGGCTTTCACAGTTGTAGCTAGACTTAACAAATATTAGACACGGACACGAATACACAACTATATGAAAAGCTATCTAAACAAACTTAATGATGCATAAAATACTTTTCTATAAATATACAATACTCTAAACATAGTTATGACACAACAAGGATATAGGAGTTTTCCACGTCTAGTTATACGCAACCGGTTCAGCTCAACATTTACACTGCAGGTTCTCACGGTCTGACTCACTTGCAGTTGAAAATGCAGATGTTCTGTTCCAGAACAACATAAGTAACTTCTCGTTTCAGACTTTTAGTCTAAGCATCGATTTGTTTATAAGATGGTAATAACATTGTCGGTAACTAAAAGGAAATGCCTTCTCTAATAAATAAGCATTAAAGCCAAAACATAGTCCCCAACATTAGCCTAGGAATTCTTTGACCGATTTTGTTCTCGGAGACGATTCAACATCTTGTTTATTCTACTTCCTACCATATTAAACCTAAGAAAAAACACTAAACATACCTTTTGAAAGTTCGTCTCCACGTCATTTTCTTCTTCAACCTTGATAATGTCGCGAAGATGATCTATTAAATTCAGCTCCCAAGTAATATTTTGATTAATTTTCTGCACCACAAAAAAAATATACATAAAATGACATTAGAACAATGCAACCAGCAGAACTCAAATGCTACCACTTACGATTTTCTTAATTTGAGGGGGGGGGGGGACAGAATGCATAGATTATAAAATTTATTTACTGAAATCTAGAAAGCTAAAACCCACATCTTCCTATAATGACAATAACTGGGATAGAGTGAGTAAACGGGAACTAGAGACATTTTCACTGGCCAGTTTGATGCAATTTTGGAACTACTCGAGAATCTGATCTTTATCAAGGCAAAGATCGGGATCAGTCGGAGGCTGAGTATGGCGAATTACGGTTGCCTAGAGATCCGTTGGGGACTGGATGCAAGCAGCCATAGAGATCCGTTGCCTAGGATTAGGTCTTAGGGCTTCGGCCATTGGCTTAAGGAGTTTAGGCGTTTTTCTTCCTCAACAGTTCGACGGAGCCTCCTGGTTCAGAGCTTCTGTAGTTTGAAAATAGCCAAAAAAAAAAAAAAAAAAAAAACCAAGAGGGAAATAAAGAGTTTCTTCACTCTCCCGTTGTAAGAAAATAGTTAAATAAATAATAAATAAATACTACGTATTATTTTCATTTCCCTCCGATTTCAATATTTGAATCTACAAGGATGGCAGATAACTTTACGGTGTGGTTCTGCTTTGCGTGCGGAGTCAGAGATCTGTGAATCAAAACCACTGGTCTAGTTTATTTTAAGTTCTCTGCACATTTCCCACAATCCCATTGACCCTGCATTTTTCTTGACAAAAACTCAAAAAGAAATTAACCTTATACTTGATGCATTGGATAATTTTACATAATTAAAACTTTATCATAGTATCATTAAATATTAGTGTTTGGATTTAAGATCCTTAAAATAATAAAGATTATAGAAAAAAATTTGTTGTATTTAATTAGGAGATAATGAAATACTTTTTAGTGAAATATTATCTTAATTGAATTTTTGTTCAAAATTTATAATTAAATAAACTTTTAAAATTGAAAAATATATATCAATTGAGTTATTATTTGAAATTTTCATAATCAAATTCCATTAATTTATTTAATTTTGTTTTTTCAAATAAAGACTCAATTTATATAAAATAGTTCAAAATTTTACTTGATTGTCGTCTAATTCGACAAAGTTAAATTTACTACATAAGCTAAATAACAATTATCAAATATAAAATTAATATTAAAGACAAAAAAAACTCAAAATTAATTAGATCATAATTATATGTTTCTTTTTATATTCATAGATTAAATATTAATTTAAAAAATTATATATAATAAATTAAACAAGCACAATTTTACTTGTATATAATTTGTATCAATCATAAAATAAATATTTAATTTTATTTAGCGAATTTTATATTCATATCCACTTAAACTCTCTCTCTCTCTCACACACACACACACATATATATATATATTAAGACCACTTACACGATATAAAACTCATTTAGTTTCGCACAGATTTATGATTATTGGATGAGTGAAAATAGATAGTTGAGATTAACGGTAGATGACTGAGATTGACTCTTTATTTTTTTTTCCTCAATAAATATTCTCATATTCTACTGTTAATCTCATTCATCTATTTTCACTCATCTAACGATCTTAAATATGTGTAAAAGTAAATGAGCTTCACATTATGTAAATATATATATATAATTTTTACGACTCTCTCGTGTCTTAGTTAAGTCTCCTTCCCTATCTCATACAGCTTAATAAAAAGGGTACATAATTATACCACAGCGATTGCATTAACAATAAATTCTATAAACAAACGATAGTTGATTAAAATCAAACTAAACATTTAATAATCTAAATAATAAAATTTTTAATTCAATATTAAAATAAAAACCAAATAATTAACTTAGTAGCCTTGAAGTAATTCACCCTTAATTACATATAGATTTTAATACTCGTGTATTAAAAATTAATTCTCTATGTTATTTTCCATGATGTCAGATCTTATTTATTTTCTATGTTTTTAATACATCTCAATGCACTTGATAGTCTAGAGCGATTCAAGAACTTCAAATTTATTTAATTAAAAATTAATCAATGTACTATTTGGCATTAATACAAACACCATATTATTTAATTTCTCGAAACAAAGTGGGTATATTTCTAGTTACCGATCAAAGTTATACGGATATCATTAAAATGATTTTTCTTTCTGAAGTTATGAATTCACAAATCCTTGGTTGTGATTGGGAAAGAAAAGAAACTAAGAAATAGAAGCAAAACATGTGATAATTATCATTAGCAACATGAAACTTTTTAAAGTCCTGATTCGTCCAGGGGGCAAGCAAAGTGCCTGTTATTGGTTCCAACGCATTATTGCATGGATGAAGGCTCAGAACAGAAAGAGACCAACTTCCCCAATACCAATAGCTACAATTCATTTTGATAATGGAAAGAAACTAAACAAACTACATGCAATTACAGAGCTATCACCACCATCGGACGAGAATGTATGGAAAACGGTTCAGGATTAAATAGATGTATCTTAGTAACATACAAGAATCTGGATTACCCCGAGCAGCCATTTTCAAGGAGGGATAAGCTTGCAGACAACAGTACACAGCAGTCGCACAATCCATTAAGGGAACTAATGCTGCAATACACCAAATAAATCCGGCATAGGAAAACAAGTACAATTTGCATATATCTAATTTACTGTCATTGACAACTACAAGAAAAGCAACACTAGATTATCTAAATCAGACTGTTCACATTTAAAAAAATTTGCTCACCTTTTTACGTATCAAAACTTGTCTCTCGTATCAAATTTATATGCAAATTAGTTGAGTCAAGTTCTTAGTTCTCAAACCCAAAGAAATGGTAGTCATGTTGGACCATAACCTATACATGAAAAAAACAATTTAGTATGTAGTAACCTACATGGCAATAGAACAAACATATATACTAATGTAAATATGTAATTGGAGTTTTCATCAACTCAAAACACCATTTTAGAATATAGGTAAGACTTAAAAGTGCATCAAAAATCACTTATACAAGTAGATTGTGCACAAATGTACACTTAACTATGAAAAGCCAAAAGAATGACTTTAACTATAATCTCAAAAGTGAATCAACAAGTCAAACAAGGAAAAGTAAATCTTACAATAACGTTGAAGCTTTGACATATTTACTAAATGTCCCCGTGTAGTAAATTAACACTTGATAATGGAAACTGTTAGGGTAGGAATATATGGAAAATCAGAGGAGGAACTTGTACAACATCAAGGCTCAACTGCAGAGTGTTATCAACATATATGTAAATTATGTCAGAAAGAGTTTTTTTTTATAAGAATGTCAGAAAGAGTTGTTATTAGATAAAAACAGAGAAACTCCAATGAATGTGCATAAAATTCCGTTAAGCGAATAGGAAAATAAAAAAGATCAAAGGAAAGGAATTTACCTACATTTCATGTGAAGCTTTGAACTACATCTATGCCAAGACGATCCTGAAAAATAATAATAATTCCTTATTTATGACATGAAAACTACAACATAACTCCTAATAGATTAAAGGCCTTTTGTAAAAACAGATTAGTACTTGGATTGATATGTGCTGCATCCCCTCCTCTTTTCTAGTATTTATCATAGCCCACTTGCAGCATCAAATGACGGTAGCTACGACCACGTATAATCCTCTGCCAAAAATACTGAAGCAAGTTTTGGTAACTCAACTGCAAGCGCTTCTGGACAAGCCTGTGATTCAAGATTCAGATGTTTGAGCACAAGCCACTCGAACAATAACACTCGCATTCTTTTTTTCAGGTACCTTCTCTCACTTACCATCTTGCAAGACACCTCTGAATACCTTTAGAGATGGGGCGAAAGAAAGAGGGATCCCTCTGAGCATAGAGCAAGCCAACCTAATAAAGGGAGAGTTCTCAAAACTGTGAATGCAGTTTCTCATGCATATATACTTGATATATGGCTCCTAAAGCCACACATGATCAGTTTACAAACGTATTAATATAACATGCTGTCTGTTTAAAATCACATTCTCAGTATATGTGATCAAAATTATTTGGCAAAAGTTTTAGGCAAAAGCATTTGGGAAAAAGAGTAAGAAATCAAATCCTACCAAGGAACTTAATTCTACTGCAACTTTTGATAATTTGACAATGTTAGTTTTGGCAAAAAGAATTAACATTATAACTGAATCAAATCAAAGTAATAAAGGCAACAAATGCAGAAAGATATACCTCCACTAACGCAACGGCAGCTGGATCATCCAAGATCTCTAGGCTGCAGTCAGCTAGATAATTAACCTGTATAACCCAAATAAGGGGGGACACAAAATTACTTAATACATGAATAAATACCATATTTTATATATAAATGGGCACTAAACCTATACCCATTTTGATATATAGGTGGAGTGGCCCTTGTTATATTTATGTGCCAAGGATGTCCCCAACAAAACTGATGCAAGATTTAACAGTATCGCCACTTTAATACTCCCCCTCGTGTAGGGTGACAAGGACCTATCAGAGGTCATGAAATTCACATGTAGGCAAAACAGGCCTATTGTGTATTTGCATCTTATACCTATGATTGAGGAAAGAAAAAATTTGGGGGGGGGGGGGGGAAGGTGGGGCGCAGAGCATACTTTGATACCATGTTAAACTTTAAGATGGGTCCAACCAAAAACAATCTGCACCAGGTAGAGTGGCCCTTGTCACAATTGTCATTTATGTAAGAAATTTCTAAAAACAAGAATACGCCTGATGTACGAGATAACTGCTAGCAATGAACAGAAGTGTGGCGATAAAGAAGTTGAAGCCAACCTTTATGAGGTAAATATCATGAGCAATCATGAAAATTCACAACATCAACAAGAATATGGACACCTAATCCCAAAATGGAAATTGAACTACAAAGTTTGGAGTAGAATTGGTCATCTTAGTAATTCCGATATTTACGGCCAGCAAAATTCCACCAAAATATAAGCACAAAAAAAACAGTTGAATAGATATTTAAAAGTAGTGTAGAATGCTGAAGGACACTTACACCAAATTCTGCATTAACTAGAGATTGAACAAAATCCATTAGTTGAATCTTCGCCCATTCCTTACGTTTAGCAGGGTCATTGGATGATGGAGGGTGTCTCCAAGGAGCACCAAAACGCAATTTATCTTCTAAAATCTTTCCACTTTGAGCATCAATGGCAAATTTTTGCAGAATCATCAATGCTTTATCCATTGAAGGATTGACAACAGTAGCCTAAAAATGATTATAGCAATGGTCAATATATATATATCGAGTAACAGCACAGCACCAAAATAACATACCTCAAAACAATGAACAGTATCATGAGCCTTTTAACAATTTTTTTAAATGTAAACAATTTCTAACATCTTTGTATTTTTTTTTCAAGAACAAAAACCATTTATAATGCACCGATGCTATAGAAGGATTCCCATGTTGATCTAAAAAATGAAAGCTGAATGAATCTGAGAAGTAACTGAGCTTTGAACTCAAACCAGGCTACAGAATCCACCTTGGTAGTCATTGGTTTTTATTTGATTTTCATGGTGAAGTATAAAGTTTATAACTGATTTTTATTAATGCAGCAGGTTCAAATAATGTCTATTAACCAGTCCAGACAAATTAAAAACCTGTAAGTAATGATAGCACATTGGCCCAGAAGGATTAAGGACAGAGTATAAAAAATGCTTTCATTTCATGAAGCTTACCTGCAAATAAGCTAAATATGCATCCACAATGTCTTCAAATGTACTTGCCTCGTTGTCCATCAACCTACCGTTGAAGAAAATAAGTTTTAACAAAATTCATGGTCCATAACATTGATTTTGACTAGTAAAGAAGAAATAGTTGTATTTAACATAAATTACCCATATCAAACTTTAAAATCAAAATTTCTTATTAAATTTATATGTTATTAATCCCAAACGAAAGAACTAACAGACTAACTTACAACCTCAAGAGAAAGCTTAAAAGTAACTGAGACACAATGAGATTCAGCAACAACAAACACACTGGAATAGAGACCACTATTACCGCAGACTTTAATAACAAATCTTTAGCTAGGAAAAGGCAACTTTCATCTTTTAGTTTTTGAAGCCATTCTAGTGCATACGAATGAGATAACAATACAACAAACAGAACAAGAAACAGTCTTACTTTTGGTAATAATTGCTTTGTTTGAGCACATAAAGCTCAAATAGATGTCGAGGGTTTGGCCCAAGCACATCATCAATCACCATCCACTGCAATAAGAGTAAGGTAAGCTTATAGCTTGCCAATAATGTCACTAATTCAAGATTCTAATAGAAGGTTCTGTTGTTCAAAAATAATAATAATAATAATAGAAGATTCTGAAGGGGAAGAGCCCTCTACAGACTGTTAAGCACTAAACATAAATTTTGACGAGGGTTTGAATTATGGCTTTTCCTTGTTTCCTGCTTACGACAAAGTTTCCTAATGTTATGTCTAAGCAATGTTATCTTAACAAATAAATACTCACCTCTGAATGGGTGAAATAATCAGTAACCATGTGCATTTTAGCTTCTTGTGGGGCCCAACCAAATGTCTGCACAAATCAAACAAATTGTAATGACAGTAAAAATTTGGAATCACTTAATTATATAATATAAAGTGTGAAATGGGTGATCGAAATTGTTCATAATTTCTAGATTTAAGGTGAAAACACACTAATTAAATGCCAACGGAATGAAACACACAGAACCATCATACATGTGTATATATATTCATAATACAAACCAACATGCTTTAAGGGTGCTTGTTTCAATGTGTTCGTGTGCGTACAAGCATGTGCATGTGACATGAGTATCATAAATAGTTTTCTGAGTACCTCACGAGAGATGAATATATCTGGAAACCCGAAATCCATGAAAGCTTGATATGAATAATAGCTGAGAAAATTTGTATTTGTTAGAACTAAGACATTAGAAATAGACAAAAAAGAGTTGGAAAGGCTTTGCATTTGAAAAAAATATATATAAAAAATAGCATTCTGAAAGTTCCAAGAAATACAGCACAGGAAGAAAGTTTGCAATTCTCTTAATTAATATGTGTCAGAAGACTGTAATTATGTAAAAATTAACCATCAAATAACAGCATGCTAGAGTTGCATCTCAGTTGTCACTATCTCCACGGATACAAGTATTGTAAAGCACTAAAGTTATAATTATGAAAATTTTAAACATCTCTTGAGTCATTGCAATACATACCTGAACTACTGAGCTTAACAGAAGTCTAAATCAGATAATTGAGGAAAATTGAAAAGTCTAAACTCGAACTAAAACTTGCAAAAAATTGAAACATTTAACATAGAATAAACAACATGGCTTGATATCTTAACCTATCTGATGTCACAAGTATAACAGGCAGGCATCGCTCATTTGCTCCTAAAGCAATTATTCTCCAAATCAAACTGTCATGGTACATTGATCCACACACCGACATTGATCCACACACCGTTGTCTCTTCCATCAAAATTGCATTCCGAAGAATCTCAACATTATTTATGACCAACTTCGGCTGCCCAATTTAAACAAAATGCTAATGTAATCTACAATCCACTTAAAAGCAATAAACAAGGTTCGCTCAAAATTTTCTAGTTAACAAACTACCTGAAAATGGTCAATCTCAGCAGCTTGAGAGATCAACTCAAGCAACAAACAAGGCCAATCAGTACATGAATTTGCCAGCGACCTCGAAAACCGTCCACTCCTATTCAAATCAGCAATGGCATTAGCTCTCCACTTTTGCTGCAATTTAATCACCTCCTTAGCCAATCTCAACGCCACAACTGCTTCCTTCAAATAAGAAGCCTCGTCGACAGACAAAGTCTTCCCTCTCTCTTGAAAATCCAGAACCCCATCGATCTCTGAGGCATTATATCTAGCAGATAAAGCAAAAACGGCTCGATCCCATAAACCCGAGCTGGAAACCTTATCAGAAATAGCAGTTTTAGAAGCGTTTTGGTTTAGTATCCGGCGAAGGGCAGTGTTAATACCGTGCCATTTGTTGAGAGTAGTAAAGATTTGATGTGAACTTATGGTTCCAAGTTTGATGCCTTTATGAGCCATAGACTCGAGACAGTTCTCGAGCTGGGTTCGGCAGCTGGATAAAGACGGTAACTCACAGGAGGACCAAGAGTACCAAGGAAATGAGCCATCGAAATTAGGATGGTGGTCTTTAATGGATTGAGCGAAGTCGACATAGCCGGTTAAGTGAGGACCTTTATTCCATTCACCAAGAAGACCTGGCAAAAAAGAAAGAAAATAAGCGGATTTTTCCCTTTGAAAAAAGGAAATGAATTTGAGGGGAAGAGGGAGCGTACGGTCGAGGATAAGAGTGGTTTTGCCGACGCCACGGGGGCCGTGGAGAATCAGGGGCTGAGGAACACGGTGGTGTTGGGCGTGATTGTTGAGGACTGTTTCGAGTAAAGGCCTTGGAATGATCTTCCATGCTTTGTTCACCATTTGCTTTTGCTTCTTCTTCGCTCTGCGTTTCTGGATTCTATGCTCTGGCCAAGGGTTTAAGAGAGTGCTCTCAAAAGAAGGAATTTAGAGGCAACGAATGTTAATAGATAGATGTGGATTAGTTAAACGCAGCTCTTTTGCAGCCAACTTGAGCCCAAAACATTTCACACCAGTAAAGTTGGGTCATATTGATTCGGCTTGAGTTAGAATTGGGTTATTTTAGGTTTAATTTTTTTTGAGATATTTTAATTCGGATCATTTTTGGATTCAGGTTATTGTGGATTTAAATTATTCGAATTTAAAAATTGATTTTTTTTTGAGTCAAGTCATTTTATGTTATTATCACTTTTAATTGTTTCAGATTTGCATTCGGACTATTAATTTTTAGATAAAATAATTCAGTGACCGAAAATATCTTATAATATACGATTTTAATCAATTTTTTTGGATTTGCGAAAATAACTAACAAATCCGCAACGCGAACTCCAATTTCGCAACACAATTTTAAATTCGGAACTCAGTTTCTGAAATCGCAACGCGAATTTGGTATTCGCAACACGGAATTTCTGAATTCGCAACGTGAATTTCTTTTTTGGAACGCGAATTTCTTTTTCGCAACAAGATTTTTTAATTCGCAACACGAATTTTGTTTTCGCAACTCGATTTTCATATTCGCAACACGAATTTTAATTTAGCAACAAATTTTATTTTCGCAACACAAATGTTTTGGGTATATAAACTACGCAGTAACAACAACTCATAAACTAAATCCCTAAATCGCAACTCATTTCATCTCCATCTCTCACTCTCTCCGGTGACATCGTTCTTATATCCAACGACATTTCCCCATCTCTAATTTTTTTTACATAATTTTATTTCTATATAAGTTTTCAATGATTTCTCTCTCAAAATATCAACTATCAACTTAATAAAGGTATGTTTTTCTCTAAGTTAGTGATGATATCTAGTTTATAGCTCGTTGTTTAGTAAATAATTTACAATTTGTAAGCAACCGAATGAATTTACTAAGCAATCTAAGTGAAATGATTAATTATATATTGAAATTACGAGTAAATTTATTATCAATTTAAATATGAAAAATATAATAATAAAAAATTTCAAAATAAAAATAATTAAAAAAACTAATTATTGGTGGTTGATTTTTCATTTGTGGCCGTGAATGGTTGTGAGATGGTGACTCTGAGAGATGGAGATAGAGGGGGTCGTCAGAGATGGGGACGGATGTCGCCGTAGAGAGTGAGAGATAGAGATGAGATAGAGTTGCGATTTAGGGTTCTAGCTTATGAGTTGCGATTTACGGGATATATTGTTTACATTTTTGTTGTGAAATTAATATTGTGTTTCGAATTCGAAAATAAAATCGCGTTGCGAAAATAAACACGCTTTGCGAATTTGACTTCTGTGTTGCGAATTATAAATTCGCATTGCGAAAAAGAAAATCGCGTTGCGATTTCAGAAACTGAGTTGCGAATTTGGAAACTGTGTTTGAAATTAAAGTTCGCGTTGCGAATTTGTTGGTTATTTTCGTAAATCCAAAAAAAAATTGGTTAAAAACATATATTATAAGGCATTTTCAGTCCTGAAGTTATTTTCTCTAATTTTTATAAGAATTAAAAGTTCAGGTTACGATTGAAGGATATGGTTTTGGGTTGGTTGTGTAGCAAAGTTAATTAGAAAACCATGCTACCATTGAAAATGTATGTGATCTTGTGAACTCTGTAATTAGATCAATCTGCCCAGAGAACAGCCATTCCTGATCAATACTCAATAGACATTGCCTCACTATGAGGAGAAAAGAAACGCTTCTATGAGTTCTTTCCATGTTGGATTTTATTAGCAAACCAAAGAATAATAATAATCCATCTATAGTAAAATTGTTGTACAACGTTAATTACGTATCAGATATGACAATTTTATTCAGAATCTTGTCTTGCTTCTGCAACCACAGCTCTTGTTGAAGTAACAGATTTTGCTGATCATCTGACCCATTAAAAGAAGTATTATTGCTAGCTTCCATGGCAGGCCACGGGGCGAAAGGGTCATCGTATACGCTGTCTTGAAACGCTTCTGTTGTGCTATTAGGATCCTCAGAAAGAGAAGTCGGAATCGCCTGAAACGTTGGCCTGGCATCGTCATTAAGTTCTTGAGCAAAGAAAGTTGGTGGTGCTGCCTGAAATGTTGGTGCCATCGAGAACTCATCGGGCGAAGCTGTAGTGGCATTGATAGCAGTGGTTGCAATGGATGCTGATATATCTGCTTCATCTTCAAGAAATGAATTGTCTATGCCTTGAGGTACTATTGGTTTTTTATCAGTTCCTTTGGCGAAATGTTGAGAATCTTGTGCAGTTGTGTTGTGGCTTCAGCAAACACAAGCTCCCATCCTTCCTTGTAACCATCATTGCTCGAATTCAGTGCCAAATCTTGTTGCTGCTCTTCGGGTTCTTTTCTATCTTCCCGGAGCCAATCGACGAACAAGGAGCGGCCATTTCCTACATATTGATCGTCATCGAAATACGAATGGCCCTTGACTGCATTCAGATGATCTTGCTCATGCTGTTGATTTTCTTGAAGACAGTCGTTGACAGATGAATTACCTTCGGCTCCATTTTGAGAAGTTTCCTTGCTTTGGTCTTCTTCGAGCCAGTTGTTGAAAGGGGAGAGACCATTTTCAGAAGCTTGTTCTTGTTTATCATCTTGTTGAAACCAGTTGTCAAACAAAGAGTCACCACCATTAGTAGAATTCTCCATAGCTGAACTTTGTAGCTCTTGGGATTTATTATCATTCGTCAGCCAATCGTCGAACGATAATAAATCTCTAGTCATCCAAAACTCATGGTGAATAGGCAGTGAATGATTCGAACCAGTTTCGTGGACATTATACATATCATCTTGTTCATGGCATTGTTCCTCAGCAGTCTCCGAAAAATGCCCGGGCGAGAAAGATGGGCATATAGGTTCATCACAATCTGTTTGATCCATCAAATCTTCCAATAATATGCATCTCGAACCATGCTGTGGTTCTTCAGGATCATCGGCAGGTGACGGAAAAGGCAAACAACGTGAATTATGAGAAGGAAACGAAGCTTGGTCTTTCAAGAATTCTTGCAATGTCTCCATTAACTCTTCAGATATCTGCTGCACTCTCGGATACTCCGAAATTTTACCAATTCCGAGCTCCTTACAGTAATCATAAAACGAAGAAAGCTCTTCGAACTGTTTCGTTGCTTTGATACAGTATTGAAACGCATTGATGCACGATTGATGTTGCAAATGGAAGAAACTATCTAACAGGAGACCGAGTCCATCGGAGATATCCCGGTAAAGATCGAAGCTTTCCTGGAGGATGGCGTAAAGAGAAACCTGAACCAGCCGGTTATTCTTTGCCGCACCCGTCGGTTTTGTGGCGATGGCTCGATCGAGCAACCGTTGCCAATACAAAATCCTATCTAGCAACATCGGCGGTTTCATTTCTCGAACAGGTTGTTGGTTAACACCACGGCATCGTCGGGCGCTACTCTGCTTCTCTTTGTTCGAAAGCATCCTGTGAAGCTTCCCTGTAATAAAGCAATCCAAACGCTGATCAAGGTAAAACGCGAACGCCCTCACAAAAGCCGTGAAATCGTAAGGGCTCGAATGGGAGTAATCTTCGAAAGTGGTGAGATTCAAAATCTTCGCCCCACGGTTCCTCGCGTGCAGCACTTCTTGAGGGAAAAAAGGGTCCCCATCTTGAAAAATCCGGAGAACGAGCATCAACGATTTGAGGGCAACGACCCAGTTCTTCGTTTTCCCGATCCTTTTAGCAATGGCGTTGGCGCAAATCGCAGCGTTGAGGTTGTTGGACGAGATCGTTTGAGGATTTCATTCACGTAAAGTTCGGCAGCAGGCTCGGGATCGCGAGTGGTCGCCTTGAGAACCGCCACGTCGAGATTGGAGGAGTTGGTGTTAACAATCTTGGCGAGGCTGATGAACGTTTGATCTTTCACTGCCCCAATTGCCCTCTTTAACTTGCTTGGCATTGTTGACACTCGGGAAAATAAAAAGAAAAAGAACCCAGAAAAGCTAAGGATCGATAATTTTCTTTTCTTTTCTCAGAAAATTATGATATTCCATTGGATGGGAATGTGGGATTTTTAAGGCAATGGGGGAGAATAACAGAAAAGCCTAACGTGATAACGGCGACTCAGGTTTTGTTGACCTATTCCTTCATATGGAAAATTTGATAGAGAGGAGTGGTGGATCGCCATTGCTATATACAGAACAACTTATCAAGTTCAAGCCGGTTAACTTTCCAATATTCTCCACCATTGTTTTCATTTTTTTAGTTATTACTGTTTAACTTCTTCAAACAAATAAGAACTGTCTTCAACCTTTTTTTAATAGAAAATGTGTTTAGAAACGTAATAAGAAAACCGTCAAATCATAATTTTTATTTTATTTTAACTTTATCTAACATTATTAATAAATTAATATTTTTTCTAAAATAATTATGTGTCGTCGTTTTATTAAAATAGTTCGAGACTATTATAATATAATATATATTCATAATATCTTTAAGTTATTGATAATTAGTATCTACTCTAAAGACATATCATTCGAATATAAGATTTCTACAGTTTTCTTAATTATTAAAACCGCTCAATGAAATTTATATATATCATCGTTCTATTAGTAAAAATTTGAAGAAAATAATAAATATTTTTTATGAGGATCAAACACGGGATTTCAAGTAGAAGAAGCAACCTCTAAGATTAATAGATAATTACCATATTATTAAAAGTAACATTTAAATTAAATTATGTTTGACATGAATTAACAATTTTAGTGATAAATGAATTGTTATTATTCTTTAAAATCTCGAGTTCGAGCACCAAGAAACCAATGATGTGAGCGTTCAATGTCATATGATTGAGAATTATATTTAAATATATACTACATGTACTTACTCCATATTAATAAAAAAAACATTTTTGAAATTATTTTTATTTATTTTATGAAAATATATTAATTATAATATAAGTTTTAAAATAATATAAAAATTTATAACATTAATTAAATTATATTAATTTCATATATATTAATTATCATTTATATTATAAAATTAAAATAATATTAAATAATCGTAATAACATATTAATTATAATATATATTATAAAATGTTATAATGAAATATTTATATAGAAAAAATAACATTAATTAAAGGGTAAACTAAAGAGGTGACCACTCAATTATTGTTTCATTTCATATTGACTGTCGATGTTTAACTTCATCAACCAAACCATTTAACTATTGAAATGTTTCAATAAGGTCAATGGTCGTTATCATTTAACGAATATAGTGACGTGAAAATTAACAAAATTAGTATAATTATTCATTTGGTCCTCAATATTTACATATTCTATCAATTTAGTAATTATTTTAAAAAAATTAAATAAATTTAATATCAAGTTAGATGGTGATGTGTATCATTAAATGATTGGATGATATTCTTTTAATTTTTAATTTATTTATCTTCTAATAAGATGGTGGCATGTGTCACTATAAGATACACGATTTGCGTTTGTGAATAACTTTTTCACATCACTCAACTTAGATTAGCAGTTTGTCGGTGATCTTTAATAGCTTGATCTCTTTTTGTGTTTTATTTATCGATACAATTAGATTTATTTGTACTTACCCTTTGTTCAAGTTTATTTTATTAGGTTTTTTAACATTTTTTTATATAATCATTGTATGATCGTAAGTGACTAATTTCTAGTGTTAATAATGATTATAAGAAAATATTCTATTATGGTTCAATTTACAATTATAATTGTAAATCTTCATTATAATTTTAAATATTTATTATTTTTAATAAAATTAACAATTTATAAAAAAATATATTTAATTTATAACAGTGGAGTATTGTTGATATCTTTCATGTAATTTTTTGAGAATAAAGAAACACGAAAAAGCATATGAAACTAACACGAAAACATTTATATTATTATTTTAATGTAAATATATATAATATTTTTTAAATCACATTTATAAATATAATAAGTAAATATCATATAAAAATCTAATCTTAATTAATAGTAAAATCTTAATAATATATCAAAATTATATTTAATATATTTCATTAAAAACCCACATTAATACACAGTATTCCAATCATAATAAACATCCTAACATATAAATATTCATAATAATTCAGTAATTATTTTCCACTTCAGTAAGGAATCTTTGCGCTCGGGCTTCCATAAATACAATAGAAACCCTAACCCGATCGAAGATCAAATTAAAGTAGAATCGGAAGCAGAATCGCCGAGAAAAAATGTCGGGGCAGCAAGAGGAAGACAAGAAGCCCGGTGATCAATCCGCCGCTCACATCAACCTGAAAGTCAAAGGCCAGGTCTCTTATTGGGGTTTATTTGCCTTTCTCCAGAAAAAATATTTTTCCTTCAATTAATCGCTTTCTCCGGTTGAATCCTTCGATTATCTTTTTTGGAAGATGAAATATATTCCCAAAGAGTTTACACCTTCAATTAGTTTGTTGGGTTTTATTATTTGCTTTTAATCACGTTTTTAGAAAATTATGGTCGTATGTGTAAGTAGTGATTTTGTAATTTTGAAAGTATTTGGTGTCTGTGATTATTGGGTTTTGGAAATAATGAGATGGTGATTGGGTAGTTGCAAAGATTCTTCTTTGTTTTATATGTTACCCAAACTCAGAGGTGGTGTTCGATACATGTATGCATGAAACACGGGCATACTCTATTTTAAAAAATAAAATATGTCACATACAATTAGCAATAACTGAGATTAATGTTTGATATTTAGAATTAGTATCTGGTTTTTATTGTTTAAAAATAGTTTGCCTTTTCTATGTGTTATATGTTGTCGTTAATGTTAATTTGAGGGCGCGGTTATGGTGTTTACTATTGCTCTTTTAGTTATTTAGTTTAACATGCTTTAGATTGCTTTAGCTCTAAAAGATATGATTTCAGTTTGTTACCACTTTTTCTTATTTGTTAGTATTCTTTGATTAGGTTATTACGGCACAATCTCTCTTTGCTTGCCAAAAGAACTCTATTTTCACCCTGTTTTTCATGCATCTTTGTAGTTGTGTTTCTTGAAGTCATTGTAAGTTGGCCTTCTTTGCTGTCTGTTTGCATTAGTTAGATTGTTCAACGTCAATCTTGGACATATTTCTGATCTTCTCGTGTTGTTATTTCTTGCAATCCAGTTTGGAATTGCAAGATAAAAATATGGGATTTTGGATTTGCTATACAAATAATAATTCAATTGTTGTCAAAAGGCAAAGGCTTGAGAAATTGAATGGTTGATGTAGCCTTAAACTAACTTTGATTTGATTCATCTATTAAGTGATATCAAATTTCAAACTTTCCCAGACTGAAGGTGTTGATATTTTGTAGTGAATTTGAGATTTATAGTAAAACTACGTGGATTAAGGCTCACAATTTTTTTGACTAAATTGTATTATGACCATAGGACGGGAATGAAGTTTTCTTCAGGATCAAAAGAAGCACGCAACTGAAGAAACTTATGAACGCATACTGTGACCGCCAATCTGTGGATTTCAACTCCATTGCCTTCTTGTTTGATGGTCGCCGCCTGCGAGGCGAGCAAACTCCTGACGAGGTATCATTTCATTTCTCTCTCATACATAAACGATTACTTGTATTAATATGCATCCGCATTCGGAATTTGTTAACAGCATAATCTTTTTTTTCCAGCTGGAGATGGAGGATGGAGATGAGATTGATGCTATGCTGCACCAAACTGGGGGCACAAATGTTTCGGCAGTCTTGTTTGTCTGAATCAAGCTCTACTTTACTGTTTGTAGTATTTAAAATAGTTAGTTATTGTCTGACGATATAGATTTTATAACGTAATAAGTTTGCTGTGGAATGTTATAAGACTTGCCGGACTTGTTCTGAATTGTCGTGCTCTTATAGAAGAGCTTGAATTTCTTGTGTTTGCTAAATGAGGTGGAACTCGAAACTTCTTGTTGGATATATGCCCTTGCTTTGATGGCTGTTTAGCAGCCACTAGCTATCTATAAGTATTTTGATTTCTGGGTTTGCTGCAAATTTCAGATTCTGAGTTTTTCTAAGTTGACTCATTGCGTATTCTCTGCATTCTTTATTTCATGAAGATTGTCATTGCTTTTTATATGTGTGTTTTCTTTAATAACATAATCTTATGGGCTGTTTGGTTCAAGGAATATGGGATTCTCATGGGAATGGAATCCACATTCTCATGTTTGGTTGGTCGGGAATCTCATTCCGGTAATGTTTTATTATCAATAGTAGATTTTTTGGGTATATTACCGGGAATGTAATTACCTCTTTTCTTAGGTATTGTTGGATTATCGGCGTTTTAGACTAAAATGCCCTTAATTTTTTTTTTTCAATATTTTTTTTTTCATTGAATAATAAAAGTTTTACGAATGGGAAATTATAAATTTATTTTTAAACTATTTT